TAATGGTGAGATAGGGAGGATACTGCAGGCTGTGACCTCATTTGGATTCAGGATTGTTTCACTGGACTTGAGTGAGGGTGTTCTGAGTAGTGTCAGTGTGTGCAGTTATACCCGTGTGTCTGCGTCCTTCATGGTCACACACTCAAAAGAGATGAGCCATCACAATTTGATCATTCATCAGACTGTTAATTGTCCCCCCATCTACTCTCTTGGAAAGAGGGGTTTCTCAAAGTCTTGAGGCTACAGGAAAAAAAACTTACTTTTAGGTGGTCCCTTGACTCCTCGGCCCTGCTCTTTGATTTTGGAGGGTGGGGGGGCTGTCCTCCCTGACTATGGAACTTGAAGGGTGTTCATTATTTGATGGTGGAGAGCAGCACAAAGAGTAACGAGTGCCATTCAGCTATTCTTTGAAGAACTGGAGGTACTATTCAGAATGGAAAAAAAGGTACTCACACATAGTCACTGACACCCTGACACTATTCAGTAGTTCTTAAAATGTTATTAATCCCAGATAATTCTGGTACACTGCAGCATGAATGGCTGGATAAATATAAAATAAGTCGTTTTTAATTTTCCATCATTTCCCAACTCAAAGTCAGGTCTCTGTCAAAGATAAGAAGGGAGTAGAAACGGGTCCATGCTGCTTAAAATGCACATCCCAACCTTAAGGTGAAAGAAAGGTAACAGGCATCATCACATCAAACTCTCACATGACCTCCAGCATAAAGCTGGGAGCTCTTGAATTAGCACACTCGCGACTAATGTTCACCAGATTGGCAGGCTTAAAGCTTCGTCTCATCACTTAACACACTAAACATGTCAAGCCTCAGCAGAATATCTTTAGCTTTATGTAGGACTGAGCCACAGTTCTGCAAGTCACACTGCTGGCTTTTCAATTAATTTTTCCACGCAAAAAGCATCCAAATGCCTTCCAGTTTGCCCTTGTGTGATATTTTGACTGCTGTACTATTTGTTGAACGCTGCCTTCCTGGCAGTCAAAATACCAAAAGCACAAGTCTTTAAAAAAAATTGTTTTAAAGCGTTAAGCCGCCCAGCATATGCAAACGAAACCCAAACCAGAGGAGGAACACAGAGACACACGTGTGTGTGCGCTTCTGGAAAGGTGTCATGCGGCGATAATGCAGGAACATCTCACTTATTTCCCATGCAAATATACCTCATCTTCTTATCACTTTTACGCAAAGTACAGCTTGATACATTTCACACATCAGCACATCTTAGGTCCCTGAGGAGCCGCCAGCCCCTTTAAACTGTCTATCTCTGGACCGGTTTGTATGAGAACATCTGGGGCTTTTTAAAGAAGGCTTATGAGGTTATGAAGCCACTAATTACGTATTACTAATTACTGAAATGTGTGATTTAATTGGAATTTAAACCCTCCCAGAATAGATGCTTCTTGTGTTTGTCAGTACTGCTTTTTCTCTAAAAGATTGAGAGAAGTAAAATGTAATACCAGAATGATTGTGGAAGTGAGTGCAGCGAGCGGCCCGTCACCCGAGATGGCCTTTTCCACCTTCCAGCAAAGCTCCTCAACCGCTGCAGGGTGGCTGTCTTAACAAGGCCTGTCACTTAAAATTTTAGTACTCACCTTAAATCACAGAGACATCAGTCGAGAAAGATGAGCGATGGGGGAAGAAAAACGAACCAAGGAATGGCGTGGTTTATCAGATCGAGGCAGTGCGTCCTTTTCGTGGCTGAAAACATTGTGAAGCTAATGCGTTTTGACATGGCATGTTCACATGTGTGTGTGGGTGTTATCAGCCAGAAGGACAGTGCAGCTATTTCTATTAGGGAATCAAAATCTGGCCTTCAACTTATTTTGATCAAATCTATTCTTACTTCACCAACAACCCAAATATTGTGACGAATTTTCCTCCATCAACTCTCTATTTCATGTGAGAATAAAAACCTTCCTTTGTTGTGCTTTTAGATATTCCTTCTGTCAAAAATTGAGAAGCGTTTACAAGTCACTGAGTCTCACAGTCGAGTGCGTCACGTCTGCCAACAAAAACGCCCGCGTGCCCACGCATGCTCCGGCTCTGATAAGATTCCTGCAGGTCATTGATGCCCCGGGGTGTGGCATGCTTGGTCCTGAAGAGGAGGTGTGCTAACATAAGGTTGTATGTAGCAGGGCACCCTCATCAAAGCAGTGTTGGATCTGTCCAATAAAAGATGGATTAAGGGGGCCAACAGAAGGCAGATATTTTGGCACAAATAATGGCAGCACTGAGATTAAACCGCCAGGAGTTGTTTCTTTCACATCAGTGCGTTTGTTTCTTTTAAAATAAAGATAGAAAAAACTCATATGTTTGACTTTTGATAGATGTCATTAGATTAGAACTTTTGAATCTTCTTTGTGAATGTTCTCCGTAGGCTAGTTTTTTCATACATTACAACTCTTAAATGCGCCCACATCGATTTATTCAAAATGAAAAATGTTTTGTTGATTGGCCTTTGCTTGTTTGAGTACGGTACACAGATTGTGTTTTCTCTACTGGACTGTACACCAATGAGAGAGAATAACCAAAAACAGACACAGGAGAGTTTTGTGTTTCCTCAGACTGTCATTTGTATGTAGAGGTGTTAATATATAAGAGGTTTTTCATATGGGCAACACAAAATCCTTCTCTTTGTTAGTAATGAGAAGTCCAAGCTCATTGGTCCTGCGAGTGTGTGTGTATTTATGTTTGTTTTAAAGCAGCAGGGGCGCACAAACATGGATATTGGAGCCCAGTGTGGGGGGAAACTGTTACTTCCTGAGCCTACGGGAAGGGAAGGAAGGAAACTATCTGTAGTTACAACGCACAGACGCTCATGCTGTCGTACTCCCGCCCCTTAATACTGTAAGTCTAGGAATAGACTGCCTTCTACACGTGAACACACCCACCTCGCAGGCCCGGACTATTTTTAAATTCCCATCTTGAGTTTTCCCCATAGATCGCGGGATGACTGACCACCATGAGTAAACCTAATCGCTGCTCAAAATGTTTCTTGCGTAGGTGGACTATGGTTCATGGATTGGGACATGGCAAACGTCTCTTATAATTTCCTTCCCCTATTGCGGGGCGACCGAGAGATCCTGCTGTTCTCCGGCCCTCCCCTGTAAACAGGATGCTCACGTGGAATTCCCACCCACCTTGCCGTTTCCTCCACGGTGCATTCCCATGGCCGGAGTGAAAAATGGTGTCTCTACCCGGCCATCCCACTCCATGGCAGATGTTGTCGTGTCCAGCATCCATACAGGAGCTGCTTACTCTAATCACAATACCAGACCATTTAGGTCGCTAACCAACAAAAAAACCCATTGACATACATGTACACATGTATGATGTGCAATCGACAACGCATTTTGATTAGATGGATGCACAACGAGACGGCTAATTACAAATCACCGCGTGTGTGAATGTGGCCGTAAGATGAAGAGCAGGAAGTGGAGTAGGGGTTTATGTCTTTGTGCATATGCTTGTGTGGGAGAAAGCACGCTCCAATAAAGAGCCCTAAAAATAGTAGAAATATGCCCATGTGACATATTGAGGCTAAAAGCTTGTGAATAATTTGTCTAATGCAACACATACTCTCTTCCTCAACTCTGTCAAATGTGCTCCTGCTGGTAACTTCTGCCAGCCTGCGAGTTGGAAGAGAACCGGGGAACCAGTCTGTTCCGTTACCACGGACGGATTGTCTGTTTATTTTATATATATATATATATATATATCAGCAATTAATGTCCCCCTTGAAAAAAACAGCTAAAACAAATGCTCACTCATGTGACTTAGTGTTATCAGGGTTATATCTTTCAGGGTTGGTTATTATTGCTCTTAAAATATACTTCCTCATCTAATCTTACTCATCTGGGGCTTTGTCATGTTTCATTGAATAGTTCCTGCTTTAGCTCCCTTATCTTCACATACATTGTCGAAAATGGAAGTAAACACCTATCATATTCGTCTCCAATAGATTTTTGAAGTCCCATATAAATGTATATAGTTATGGCTATCATTTCTATTTGTCGGGTAGTAATCCTGTTGCATTTTGTTTGTAGTAGTTCAATTAAAAACAATAACGTTTTTTATTCTGCTCCTGGGACCACTGTGCCCACATCATCATTAAAAACACAAATGACCAATAATTTAAAAAGCTTTTCCCAAAGAGTGGATGGTTGGTAATAAAGTCCTTTCGAAGTGAGATCAAATCCCACAAAGGACTGCAGAAATCAACAGTAGAACGAAGGGAAATTGGTACTTAAAGAAGGCAATATAGTTTAACAGCACAAACTAATCTTGCCTTTTATGCAAATCTTTAATGCATTGCCAAAAACTCAAACAGCAAATCCAATTTCAGCTTAATTTTAATGCTTTAATTTGTGAGTTCAGCAGAAGGACAATGGAATAGTCCAGAGTCCAAGCAGCTCATACACATCAAAACATGGACAATTACGACAAATACATCCCATTACTATACAGAGGCCATTCACAGTGCTGAGCAGCCAGCAAGAGGAACATTTCTCATAGACCCAACGCTGAGTCAGCATATTACAACTGATTAGAAAAATGAATGGAGCAAAAACTAATAGTTTGTCATAGCTCGCGCTGTGTCACAAATAAAGCGAACAGGAAAAGACAGCCGGTGTACAACACCCAGAAATGTTGATCTGGTGGATTCCGGGTGTTCTGAGGAACTCACATGTTGGAATGAATGATCTCAGGTCTAACCTCTGATAAGATCAATTATTACCGCTTCTGGCGGAAAAAACAAAACCAAAAACACATAGTGATGGTTACCGACAGTATGCAGAACATGACTGTGCTGCGCACGGCAGTACAGTAAGCATGTGAAAGCCCTGAATTATTTAAAGCTATGACAGCTCGTGCAAGTTCACACTTGCTTACCCCACTGACTCTTTCTTTACCAACCCCCACCCCCGAACTCCCTGCTTCACACCGTGCGTACATAAATGTGAGGCAAACAGCAAGCGAAAGATGAGCCAGTTTGCCGCAAACCGCAGGACGAACAACGTTTCCTATGGCCATCTGTCACTTGGAGTGAAAAGCTTCATAGACGGCTGTATGAATTCCATGTTAGATGCAAAAACAATTAGGTTAAACATGCTTCAAACACCAAAAAATGGAAGCCACAAATAGAGTAGAGAACTTGAAAGCAAGGCAGCCGGACATATGACCACAAAAAAAGAGAGGAGAGGAAAACACTGTGTGCTAGCCCGTGGAGGTTTTTACAGAGGTGGAGGTAGACAGAAGGCAGGTGGATGATAAAAACACGGCCTGGCTGACAGAGCGCCTGATAAGCTGCCTGACTGTCAGGTTTGGCTGGGTGGCCGAGAAGTGAGAGAACCAGTGATGAGAAAAGACAGGCAGATGGCTAAAAAAATAAGATTCAGAGCATAATTTAGAAGCACTGCACATGGCAAAAACTGAGATATGGTACAAATACATTGATAGTTTGGTGGTTTTAAATTGAATATTAAAAAAAAAAGAAAGACTTATCCTTTGTCAAACTCTGTGGAGGCTATGTTTATAACAGATGAAAACCGCTGTGATATCAGCTGTGGCCAAATGGCTTGGCCTGTGTGGGAAACAAGCTTAGCTTCTGCTCCAGGCAGTTCATATTTAAATGATAGATAATAGATATCTGGGAAAACCAACTTACTGTTGTGCTTGCTGGTCATTGTTTGAATAACGATACATGTAAAATCTGTATAACTGTCAGTAGACAATAATCCACACTTTCAGGACTTTGTTTCAGCCATATTGCAACTCTCCCTTCGGATAGTTTGTATGCAGGAAAACAGTGTGGGCTTAGATGGGATTTCTGTAGTGCTACTTGCAGAACCAAAGAGAGAGACACAGGAGAGTATGCGGTCCCCCGGATTGTTTATACTTCTAATTTCTTTGTGTAAGTGTGTTCGCAGTTGTAAGGTTTCTTAATACTAACATGACAAAATATCCTTCTTTCTTACAGGTAAGCCCCAAAGTATAGAGAACTCCGAGCGGGTACAGCTGTCGGGAACCTACAATGTTCGGAAAGGGAAGCTCCAGCTGCCGGTCAACCGCTGGACGAGGCGGCAGGTCATTCTGTGTGGAACCTGCCTCATCGTCTCTTCTGTCAAGGAAAGCCAGACAGGGAAGATGCACATCCTACCCCTCATTGGAGGAAAAGTATGTATACGACATCCGGGAACAGAAGCGTTACAGGATCAGGCATTTGTTTCCTTCTTATCCTGGTCTTTTATGGGAAGGGTTTTTAATTATTTATGCTTTAGATGGTAAAAGAGGATATCTTATCATATCAGGAGAATGACCTGATAAAGTCAGTCTTACCTCTCTGTAATAGGCTCACCGTGCGGTGGCGACATGTCACCTCAGACAACAGTTTGTCCTTTAGTTTGACATACAGTAATGCTGCATGCTTTGTTCAGTTAGCTTCAGTCAAGGTGAAAGAGAAACTGTCCCAGTCACTGTTACGAACAGAAAATGTTTTCATTCAGCACGGATGGTTTGTTCACTTCTAATCTGGAGTTATGACACACATAAGTGATTAGGAATGTAAAGGAATGCTATCAAATCAAAGTAGCCTGATATTGCTCTGTTGTTTTGACCTTAATTTGTTTATTGCTGTATGTGTGTTTATGTCCATATCTATAAAAAAAAAAGCTGTCTTGTGAAAGGCATTATCTGTTTGTATGCTGATACAAAGGACACTCCATGCCCCCGCCACTCCCAGTTTTTCTAAACATTTAATTTGCCACACGTGACTCTGCATGTGTTTGTATGGGGCAAGTTTGTGTATGCGCACTCTAGTGTTCTATTTAAACTAGTCAACCATTCACTCACAGAGAAAATTTGCTGAGTGTGAGCCGGAATGTCTAAAAAGCCCTTCTGGTGTCGCACATGTGGATATTCCATATTTATGTAGTGCCCCTGTTATTTTTAACTAAATGGCTCACCTGTGTGGGGTCAAGCATGTCAGTATTTCAGCCTCAACTGTCACTCTTGTGTTGTGTCTGGCTGCAGGTGGAGGAGGTGAAGAAGCACAATCATTGTTTGGCCTTCAGCTCAGCAGGGCCTCAGAATCAAATCTACTACGTCAGCTTTGACAGCTTCACGGAGCACCTGAGGTGGCACAGACATGCTGCCAAGGTATTCTGTGTGTATGTGTGTGTGTGTCTGTGTGTGTGTGTCTGTGTGTGTATGGGGGAGGGTAAATAAAGAAAGGTTTAACAAAAACATGTGCTCCCCAGGCACCTTTTGAGTCTGAGTTGCACTGGAAGTGGGAATGAAAAGGTTACCTACTTTTTTGTGCCTTTTGAATGAAAAGTTAAATCACTAGTTAAAATGTCTCATTAGTAGAGTCACAAATGAAGAGAATAACCTTTTGATTTCACTAAGTGCAGTGATTTTTCATGTCTCTTCTGCAGACTCAAAAGCCTCTTGGAGTCATGGGTTTAAATTAGTGTACGAGACTGAAAGTGTGGATTGTTGAGGTTTCATTCTCTGCTCAGAAAATGTCCTTTCAACAAGGTGTGGTTGGCATGATTTAAACTTGAAAAGAGTGCAAAAAGGCTTGTCTACCTATCAAAGTGTTCATCAATCTAAAGTAAGACTAACCATTTACAAATGGGAGTTTACTCTGTGCTGCACAGACCTCAGCATGAGCACAGCATACAAGCACAAATATGCATCCTTGGAAAAATACAAAACTAGAATGCAGCTTATGGAAGAATACCCCAACTTAAACCACAGCTCACAGACAAAAAGTTTTCGGTAATTTTCTTCTGGAAAGGGTAAACTAGAATGTAATTTGATTTGACACGGAAAAAAAAAATACTGCCACTACATAAAAATTTCATCTCACCAGTAAACAATGAAGGAGGCTCCATAATGGTGTCTCACTAGTCATTGTAGGAAAATTCATTTTATTATTCAAATTTACAGTACAGGGTCAGAACAGATGTCGATCACCTGGTTATAAAGTCGGGTCAATGATGTAGCAACACAATGACTCCATATGCACATTTACAACCAAATGGTTGAGCGGCCTTCTTGGAAAGGCCTCGGCTCAAATAAAATGATGTGTCATGATTTGGAAGTATGAAACGCACATCAGTTTTTGTATTATGAGTTCAGTTGTAGATTGGGTTTTAACTTAGAAGGAGATTAGAGCACTTCTTTAGATCCTTGTAGTTGTAAAGCGTTATAGTTGCAACTGTGTATTTCCTCTGTCCAATCTATAATTTATAGTCAAAGTTTCTGTAAACGCATTCATGCACACAAACACCACTCGCCTCTCCCTTCTGTCTCCCATTTGAACTCAAGTAGGCCACAGCCAGAAAACCTCCTTTCTAAATATTAACAGGGACGTGCATGTCACTGGTACCCAGAGGGCCACTCAGAATAGAAGCCTGGATGGAGGCAGCACGTGCTCCAGTGATGACTGCTGAGCCTCAAGCTAACTCCACTTTGAAAGACTCCAGTTCACGGAGTGTAGAATTCCTTCTGTAATACAAAGCAGAGTTTTACACTTTTAATTCAGTTAAGATTCTTTCTGATATATTTCTGTGACGAATCACCTTCATGGCCTTACTGTTCTGTGCATCTGCATTTAACTTTAATCCTAAAGAGATTGCCACTGTGTGACATTTGACCCATTAGTTACAGACTACAAACACACACATTAAAACCAGTATCTCATGTAGTCGCTGTAATCTTGTTTTCCTGCCTATTCTCCGTCTCTTGTCCCCATCATTTCCACCTCTGCCTAGATGGTGTCCCAGAGAATCAACTCAGTCGATCTGTCCTGCTGCAGTCTGGAGAATCTTCCACCCAACCTCTTCTACAGCCATGACCTCACCCACCTCAACCTGAAACACAACTTTCTGCCCGCAGACCAGCGCCTTCAGCAGCTACGGAGGTATGATGTTATCAGAAATCTGCAGGAGGAAAACTTGAGGCCAAATGCCAGTGGTGTGGGGTTTTTGAACATGAAAGGATTTACGACTAGTTCTGAGATGCTGAAGCCACTTACATCACAGTGTTGGCATATTTGAGCTTTACTACTCTCTCAGAAGTTCACTTTTCACTGTGGGATGTACAGCGCAGGCAAGCTGGCCCACCAGCCATTTCCAGCCAGACAGAGTAATGACCAGGAGGCTTAGAAGCTGCTTTAGTTCAGTGCGATTTTGTTTTGTTTTGTTCTAATCTGCTAATAATCAGAGTCTGTCACTGAGGCAGGACTCAATTTTAGGTCAGCAGATATTTTCTGGGGTTTTGGGCAAGATGAAACCTGTGGCACATAAAATGTTCAGAAGAGCTTGGCGTAACTTACCCATGACAGGAACTGGGACAGGGCGCTTTGCGATGACTTTTGGACAATACGCCGTCAGAGCAGGGCTCCACTGGAAACAGCGGGTCATGGTTGGCTTGATTGGACGTATTTAGCGTTTGCCTGCAACTTGCAAGCAGACAACCTGAGCAGTCTAGGACGAGAGCCATTGGCACACATGGGCCAAAGTAGCTAGCCAGAACTGTACCAGGCTAGGCCAAATGAGCCCAGAGGGTTAGATGCATCTGCAGGGAAGCTTTTAATGTGCCTGGCCTCCCTTACTCTGTCTCTCTGTGGGTACCATCTGCTGCATGCTTATCATGGTCCCAGATTAAATACCACAGGCAAGATTCTGTGAACTGTATGTGTGTGTGTCTGTGTGTGTGTGTGCATGCATTCATACATATGCTGATACACTTGCAAGCCAGTCAAAGAATGTATTTTATAAGGATTATTGGTCAAAGGATTGTACTATTTACAATGTGTGAATATGTCGGCTGAGTAAGTGTTAGTTGTGTGTGTAGAACGGTGAGTGTGTTAGTCAGAGTTGTTGCTTGTATGCAACTGAGACTGTAGCTGGAGGCTACCGATTTGGGGTCAGTGCATGCAGAGCCTTGATACAGTATGGCATTTTTTTTCCTCTTCGTTTAAAGATGTCTGCACGGCATGAATCTGTTTGTTTGGCTGTGCATGAATAATCTTGCGTGTTTTTTGTCCATCTCACGAATGGGGTCAGGATGTTATTATTATCTGCCACGGGAATTTTATTTGGACTAGTCTTTATTTTTTTAATCCCCGGGATAATGACTAGTGTTGAAAAGAAGATGACGTTAGGGGAACAACTAGTTTTGAAATCTGAGGGAGCGATCCACAGCTCCCCTGCTGGTCAAGGGAGATAACATCCATGCGTCTGTGCCAAAGCAAAGTAGGCTCATCTGAGTTTGACCCAGCATGACAAAAAATGAGGTCAGTAATGAGAGAGAGATGAATAGTTTAGCTGAAAATAGAGGGTTTTTTGACAGAGACATGTAGCGAAGTGTCTTGAGTTCTCGTTTTCCCCTGAGAGGCTCGTGTCAAAAGAGCTGCATGCAAGAACAATACTACTCTGTGTGCAGCCTCAATGAATGTGGGTGTATGTGTTTTGGTGTGGACTGTTGTGTGAGAATCTGTTTTTGTTTCCATATAAACACCGGCTTTCTCTGTCCTCTTACATGGGGCCTTAGTGCTTTGTATTTTCAAAGAGCACTGGAACATATGAACCTTCAGCATGCCTTGCCTATTGTCTCTCTGCTATCGCTGGCCAAATACTAACTGGTGGGTGATTTGACAATCAGCTACACATGATCAGTCGTCTGGGATACCAGCTCTTTCCTCTGGCATGGGACCGCTTTCCCGGCATGCACTTCTCTCTCAGACAGAGGTCACCTCTTACTTAGGGGAATGGCAAGAGATCTATGCATACAATAGGACCTTTGGCCTGTGTATTTACCTATGGATAATAGTTTGGACAGTTACGAAAAGCACAAAGTTCAGAAGTGGAGGTGAATGGGAGGGGAAATAAGGGAAAGTCTGTTGAGTAGTGGAAACACCAGTCAGGTAACAAGGGGTCATTTGAGGTCGAGAGACAAACTTGTATGAATGATCATGGTCCATTAGACATAAACATTCAACTTACATAGAACAACAAACATAATATTGTAAAGTAAATCTAATTAAAGGTCTTTGTTCTTTTACTGTTATTTGTGCATTCTGAGAAAGACATCTGTCCTTCTTATTTGCCGAATGTCCCGTTGTGTTACTTTGGTGATCTGTATTTTGAGCGTGGCAACTTACAAAGCATGTTCATGAGACAAAACATAGCAGCTGCCCACAACAGCTATGAATGAAACTGATGAATATTAAGGTCTTGGTTGAAGCCTTAGAATGAACTATAGGCCGACAAATCCAGCCATTTTGGGATCATCTGAACAAATCCTATCTGTAGCATTAATTAGCTATTAATGTTTGAATGAACCTTTTTGTCTATTACTTTATTCATTCATGCATTCGGTCATTTACATTCCATCCGAATGATGGATATAACTGTAATAATCACTTTTTTCAATTTTCGTCTGTTTTAGTTTTAAATTCTAATTTCAAACTAATGACTTACTTTGGCATATAAATGTTTGGGGGATAGAAAAGATGATTTGTTTTGATCGAAACATCATCTGTGTGCCATTTTAGAGGAAGAATTTCTGTGATTGAAAACAGTAGATAAAATGAATTATTACTGCATCATATAAATATCACGCTATCATATCAAACAGGCAGTTTGTTTTGTACTCGGTCAACACACTTTGGCCTTAAGCAGATGCTCTGGTTGGTTCTGGTCCCATCTCTTCCTCAATTTCTAGTATCTGTTCATTCTTTTATGACAAAGGGTTCATTATTCATCTTTCCATTTGTCCCAACTAGTTTCCCCAAGTCTCTTTTGGAGACGTTTAAGCACGGATAGACTCCGGTCAATTTGTGTGTTTTCAAGTGTTTCAAGAATCTCTGGATCTCAGTTGCAAGTGTATAACAAAAACTCTCAGTACTTCTGAAAATGAGACCCTACAGACTTAGATTACCCTCTGCTCTCTAATACGGATGTAGCATGTTTATTGATAAGGAGAGAGAACTTACTTGGATTCGTTTTAAGGTGAGGGTCACACCATCCATACCAAATCTGCAGAATATCCAGCACATTGTAATTGTGCTTTTAGGACACAACAATGAGTTGCTTTCATTTTCTTTATGGTTGATCCTTAATGGGAGCGATATGCGTTGCTTTAAATGCACAGTTAGAGCTGGTTGAAAAGAGAATTACAGGAGAAGCCAGAATGACAGAGCATGACAGGTACACATAGAAGGCGTGAGGAAAGGGGTATAAGCATTACTCAGCACTTTGCAGAGGTCGATTTTTTTTAGTGGAATGACATTTTCTCACAAACTCTCTCCCACTGCAGGTGGGAGTCACCCTCAGCTGGAATTACTCCCACCCCCAATCAATAGGCCTGACATGTCAGTTGCCTTTATCTCCATCATCGTGATGCACTACGCGAATGTGTGTGTGTGTGTGTGTCACCGGTGTGTGGACACAGCATGAGAAATCAAGTGCCAGCGTTAGCAGCTGCTCCACTGGGCAGCGCTAATATGGTGTGCTGCTCTCTGCCTGAAAGGTGAGAGCAGACTGCGTATGAGTGGAGATGGACAAATAAAGACAGATAGCCGTCTCCCCCCGGGCTCCCTTTGTGTTTTCTTGGTTGCGTCATTCCTGAGCGTCCAAGTCCTGTGAAGGTCAACACGTTTGCTCTGGGAGGTCCCACCGAATGCCACAGGTCTCTGCTGTTTAAATGAACAACACAGAGGACCATTCCGTGTTCTGTTTGCTCAACAATCAAACAGGGAATTTAGCCTGAGTAAGACAGCAGTGGCTGTGCTGGATCCAGTTGTGTGTTTTTGACTTAAATATAAATATTTTTGTTTACTACCCATGAATATATTCATGATTATGTTGTGCTCTCTTGCAATATTAATGTTTACAAGATGTGACTCTCCAATAGCCTCTTCTCGTCTCTTCTCTTATCCTCTTCTTCAGGTTTTCTCGTCTGCGGAGTCTCAACCTGTCCAACAACCATCTCGGTCAGTTCCCTCTGGCCATCTGTGACATCCCCACCCTGACAGAGGTCAACCTCAGCTGCAACTACCTGGCCTCTGTCCCCAGCTCTGTGGGCGCAATGGCCAAGTAAGCAACAAGAGGAACCGATGATCACACAGAAGTTGTTATTATGTCTTATAATATATCTGTGCCCAAATTCATTTTATAATGTTTGAATGTTTAACATTTGTAACGTTAAAATTCTTTTCCAGTATTATCTGAAGCATTTGGTACGTTTCCTCACTTGCAGTTTTGTATTCTTATTCTGAGGTTTCTATTTGCAAACTGTTTTTCAGGAAAGCTGAGTTGTTAATAAGATTTATGTCCTTTTGATCGACCAGTAAATGACATACTTTTACTGACCGGTCATGTGGGTGTTATTGCAGCCAAATTTGAATTTGCTACATTTAGATAATAATGTTATTTATGTCATTTTATTTGTTTAATTTAAACTTCGAACATAGTTTCATTGGTATAAAAAGTAATCTATAACAGCTCTTTGGCCCAAACAGTGAGTTTTTACCTATGAACAAATTGCTAAAAAATAGCTGTTTTGCACCCACAATCTTGTTGGCTACCTTTTTATTTCTTTCTCTCATGGAAAGGCTCAAAACGTTCTAGGTTTGGTTAGCCTTCCTCATCTTTACATTTCCATGTAAAAAAATTCCCAGTTGCAACGAGAAAGGATGGGAAACAATCACAAAATCTAAAGTCTTTGTTAGGTCTCAAAGTTATCCTTAATGTCATCTTCACCGGGACAGTAAATAGTAGGCCGTCTTTTAGTAACTGGATCTGTACAGACATTTTGGATAGTGTGTGTCCTTCAAACTCAGACCTTATTTGAAACCAAGCATAATGGTATGTGGAGTTTAAACGGGGCAAGATGAGAAGATAATCTGCGGGAATGATCTGGTATGCCTGTAAATTCCAGAAGTGGTCAGCAGGGTATTTGTGGTGTTAGTGCCATCTGCTGGACATCAGATGCACTGATTATAAATGCAGAAAACTTGCAGTCTTAGTTTGTTCAACAAGATGACAATAAAGAGAATTTGTAGTTAATAAAGACAATTTTTTCTCTCTCAGCTTGCAGACGTTCCTGTTAGATGGAAACAGTTTAAGTGACCTGCCGCCTGAGCTGGGTTCCCTGCAGAGGCTGACTTACCTCGGTCTTACCTTCAACCAGTTCAACGTCGTGCCCCAGGTTCTGGAGCGGCTGACCTCCATGGAGAAGCTGTGCATGGCAGGAAACCATCTGGAAACACTCACCCTGCAGAATTTCAGGCTGCTTCATGTCAAACACATTGATCTAAGGTACAAGAAAATGCAGGCAGATTCCTCCAAATTTTGGTTGTAAAATGTTTGACTTGAATGGGTTTTCGGTGTTACTCAGTGTTAGAATTTTGACTCATTTTAAGAACCCAGTCATGCTCTGTCACAAGCGCTGTCCTAAGAGACACGCTTTCCACTCATTATCAAAAGAAAAACACTATGGGGAACCATCACATGACCAGCCAGCCAAATACCACGACATCAAGAAATCATTTGCCCGCTGTGGCTCCATCAGGTGTCTTCTGGCTGTCTGGAAAAGTACGGAATTAGGGTGACTTGCATTATTTTAAAGTTAATACCGTACTTCGTCTGGCTTTGTAGACAGTTGTTTTGGGATTGATTCTTAATATTATCTTTATTTGTAAACTTTCTCAATACATAATAATTTGTAGATTTAAACAAATGTAACCATTTTTGTTTCTGGTAGTTTTCAAGCCGACTTCTGAATGAAGAGGGAGAGTTAATGTGGCCTTTTTTGGTTTGTCTTGACTAGAATGTATCCGTCAAGTCACTAATTAAACAATTGGGAAAATTAAAAATATAATTCTCAAGTGAGACCAAAACCATTTCCTTTTAACTACTTTATCCATCAATGTAATATGTAGAACATCACAGCGCTACACAAATATTGCTCCACATATTAGGAGCAATTACCCAAGGCATGTGCTGTACCTTGCAAGAAAGGTTGCTGCCTGATCCTATTGAAGGTGAACCTTTGCCTCCTCCCTGCCTCCTCTGTCAGGTTGAATAAGATTTCTGTCATGGTGCCAGACGAGCCTGACCTGCTGAGGCACGTGACCCAGCTGGATGTGAGGGATAACAGGCTGACGGACCTGGATGCCTCCGTCTTTCCCCGGCTGGAGGTGCTTCACTGTGAAAGGAACCACATCTCCAGTCTCAAAGTCAAGGGTTGCGCGCTCAAAGGCATCTACGCCAGCAACAACGGTGGGTAGGGCACACAGGAATTTCTGCCCTCTGCATAGACAGCCATGTGTTTAGAAAAGAGAGGCCCATTCCTTTCCCACTTCCACCTAGCTTATTTCTAAACTGAACCTGTAACACACAGTGGAAGGGTCCTTCCTGATTCCACCCTCATGCACAACTATTCACAGGCTTCCATTTTTCTCATCAGCACAGACATCTAATTGTCTCTCTCCATCATTCCTCTTTAACTTGACATCGCTATCCTCCCCCGCCCGAATCATTCATTTTCCATTTACTTGCTTTCCTATAAGATCGTCCTTGCTGTAGGTTAATGTGTTTGGGTTTCTCCTTGCAGAGTTACGACAGCTGGATGTCAGTCCTGTGCCCTCCAATCTTAGTTGCATGGATATCTCAAGGTGAGAAATATTCACAAAGTACTTATATAGAAAAGTACTTATATTAGAAAAAACCTTGAACTGTTGAATTATCGCTTACTTCACACTCTCTGCCACTCTCTGCCATCTAAAAGCAGTAATGGTTTGGAGCAAATGATGCTCAGTAAATCATGTTTCTGAGAGGGGAAATAGAGTACACAGAAGCTGTGATAGATCCAAATACATTTTGACCAATGTTACATCTTACATTGAAACATTTAATTAAGTTAAAAATGGGGTTCCTTTTTATTTTAGTTCTAGTTCATTTGTGCTCATGGAACAAGTGTTGGACTTGACATTTATAAGATTCATTTTTGTGAATAGGTGACACTTAAAACTAATCACCTTGAGAATGTAATACTGAAAATACCCTTCACTAAGTACTGTTTCCCTTTGTAGACCTCATTTATGTGCTTCTGAAAAGCCTTTTTCAACCAAAAGCTAAAGTTAAACAGATGATATTACCTTGCATTGCATTATATTCTGATGTTGATTCAACATTTTGCAGACTGAACATAATTAATCATCATCACTCCTTTCTTTTTCCCTGCAGGAACCATATGGAATCCTTGCCAGACTGGCTGTGTGAGGCAAAGAAACTCGAAGTTCTGGACGTGAGCCACAACCTCATCACTGAGCTCCCAGCGAGGTGAGCCTCCCTCACAGCCAATGCGACTGTAAATGTAGAACAATACTGCATTATTCTCCCTGCCCTTTGTCAGGCTGCTCATCTATCCCCTATAGAGTCTCATAAATCACACAGATAGCCCGTAACCTCCACAGCCTTTGTCATCCTCTTTATATAGCATTTTAGAAGGTCAGTTCAGATTCACCTCTTCCTCTTCTCTGTGTGTTGCATGGAATCTGTCCACCTTGTCTCATCTGTTTCTGCTGTTTTCCCCCCTATCCATCTCTCTACCTTTGGTCCCTTCGCTGTCTGGAGACTTATTTTTTATCCAATAAGTGTCAGAATGATGAATTTCAGCTGCAGGGTCCACTAGAGATTTCAGTTTTCAGATTTCCATCTACACCCACATATATCCTCTTCACTATCCCTTTTTCCTTATCTATCTATCTATCTATCTATCTATCTATCTATCTATCTATCTATCTATCTATCTATCTATCTATCTATCTATCTATCTATCTATCTATCTATCTATCTATCTATCTATCTATCTATCTATCCACATTCGTCCATCCATCTATCTTCACTATCCGGATAACTGGTCATCCGTGCTGCATCTGTATTGCTCCTGTCGGTAACCATTCCATTTTTACATAATCTTGTGCTGCAGGTTGTTGTGCAGCAACAGTCTGAGGAAGCTCAGTGCTGGACATAACCAGTTACAGAAGCTACCTGAAAGGGTGGAGCGCACTCTGCTGGAAGTTCTGGACGTTCAGCACAATCAACTGGTGGAGCTTCCATGCAACCTGTTCCTCAAATCTGACAGGTAGCATTAATCATTTGTGGGAATTGTTGAGCAGATCCTTTTTTTCTTCTTCTTCTATCTTGATAATTTCCACTCTGCATCTAGCTAGAAAACTCATTGACGGGTGGCTGCATATAAACAGAGACGAAGGGCAGAAATAATGAAAAGTCATTTTAATCAAGAACAGGAGAACCAAGGGCAAAGATGGCAGGCAAATAAAAAAGCAGCCCGCCTTTAGAAGGAAGGGATGATTTAATGAAACCTTCATAAAAGTTTGACTTTATGCGAGTCTGTAATTGAAATGAGTCATCTATATTTTTCATGACAAGCTCCAAAGGGGGATTAATTGGAGGGGTGTGCTTTTCCTTTCAGCTTACGGTGTGTGAATGCATCAGCCAATAAGTTGGAGCATCTGCCACCATCCAGTCTCTCTGAGGAAAGCCACAGCATCCTGCAGGAACTCTACCTGACAAATAACCGGCTGACAGACAAGTGTGTCCCAATGCTTACAGGCCACACACATTTAAGAGTTTTGCACATGGCCTACAACCACCTCCAGACCTTTCCAGCAAGGTAAAGAACTCGTTTTTCAAATGGTTGAAACTACAGTTACAGTTGCATAACACTTGGTCATTTGTCCCATCATTAATTGTATTCATAGTTTAGTCCACAGTTTGTCAGAAACTAAACAAAAATGTTTCATTATGGATCACAGTCTCTTTTTCAACAATCATCAACTGTGCTGTTCAGTTTTCTGTCTTAAAGTAAACCAGATCGCTGCTCCGCACTTTAACACCACCATTGCTTTATATATATCGTTTAGTAAAATGGCCAAGTTGGAGGAGCTGGAGGAGGTGGACCTGAGTGGAAACATGCTGAAGACCATCCCCACCACCATAATGAGCTGCCGTCGAATGCACACTCTTATAGCTCATTCCAACGCCATCGAGGTCTTTCCTGAAGTCATGCAGCTGATGGAGATGAAAGTAAGTCAGCAGCAGGAACACGGCTCTACCAATACTTCTGGTGGCTCCGGACCTGTAAATCTTCAGAGATTTATGGCATTTGTCTTCTCTGTTCTGTTGCCAGTCTGTGGATCTGAGCTGCAACGAGCTGAGTGAAATTACTTTACCAGACAATCTGCCTCCAAAGCTTCAGGAGCTGGACCTCACTGGAAACCCTCGCCTCAACCTTGATCACAAGACCCTCGAGCAGCTAAAGTATGTCATGTCTTTCTTCCTTTTTTTTTGTTTTGTATAAAACAATATACATTACATACACACACACATATATATATACAATTTTATACAGTGTACATTTATTCAATGTTCTCAGTGATTAATGAGTCTTCATGCCTCAACACAAGACAGCGATTCTGATCCATTCTTTTCTTTTCTTCTAGTAATATTCGCTGCTTCCGTATTGATCCGCCTCCAACATTTTCTTCCACTGAGGCATCTGGTGGGCCTGCTGTGTGGAGTCATGGTTACACTGAGGCCTCAGGCGTCAAGAACAAGTAAGTTCAGTTCAGTGAGTGATGAACGAACAACCAGCATCAGGCACATTCACTGCAGACTCGCTAAAATAAACATCTGAAGAATGTCACTGTTCAGAACTCCAATAACGAAAATACTCTAACCAGGCTTTTGAAAGCTCAGAAAAACGTAATAATGCAGCAAAAGGAAAACTTTGAGAAGATATTGTTTCGTGCATTTGTTTTTTAAACAGTAGGATGACATTGTCAGGTAAAAAATCAGTGATGTTGACAGAGGAAACAGTCACCGTGTCTTCACAGAGCTCATGCCTCTTTGCTTTCAGACTCTGCGTGGCAGCTCTTTCAGTTAGCAGTTTCTGTGGAAGTCGTGAAGCTCTGTACGGCGTGTTTGATGGAGACAGGAATGTGGAAGTGCCCTATCTTCTGCAGTGCACAATGAATGATGTGCTGGCTGAAGAATTACACAAGACAAAAAGCGAAGTGGACTACATGACCAACACTTTCCTCGTCATGCAAAGGTACACAATGGATATGACAATTTTGACCTTTTATCTTATTTCATTAGCTGAGTTTCGATTCAGTGATATTGAAGAATTCAGTGATATTGAAGAATTTTGCCTAATAAAATCCATTAATTACTGTTAGGGATTTTTGAGGCGGGTATGTCGAGACAATAGAAGTGAAAAAAAGAGTAGCTAACAAACCTTAACAAAACAAAACCAATCCCATTCAGGTTTTTGGATGGACCACTCTTTTCCCAGCAGAAACAACTGGATGGAGACCTGACAAATTCTTACAATTAGCCCTTATATTAAAGCATTTATCTCAAATTTCTCACCTATGAATAAACTCAGCTTTGATCATTACAATTTCCTCATGTCAAATCTTCTCCTTCTCTCCCAAAGGAAACTTGGAACTGCGGGACAGAAACTCGGCGGCTCTGCAGCTCTGTGTCACATTCGCCATGACCCCACCGACCCCAGTGGCTGCTTCACCCTGACGGCTGCTAACGTGGGGAAGTGCCAGGCCATCCTGTGCCGAGACGGGAAGCCGCTGTCCCTGTCACTGCTGCACAACGTGGGGCTTGAGGAGGAATACCACAGGGTCCGGCAGCACAGGGCTATCATCACTGAGGTACAACGTCTTTAGTAAACCCAGGGGATATTAGGAAGATCATTGATTTCATTGTGATGATAGCAGTGCGTTTCACGAGTTTTTTGATGATACATTGCACATGTTTTTCTGCTCTTCTCCACAGGACAACAAAGTGAACGGGGTGACTGATTCCACCAGAATAATGGGCTACTCCTTCCTCTACCCTTCGGTCATTCCTTGCCCTTACGTGCAGACAGTGACTCTCACCCCTCAGGACGAGTTCTTCATCCTGGGCAGCCGGGGCCTTTGGGATGCCGTGTCTCCCGTGGAGGCGGTGGAAGCCGTGCGGAACGTTCCCGATGGCCTGGCCGCCGCCAAAAAGCTGTGCACGCTGGCGCAGGGCTACGGCTGCACCGACAGCCTCAGCGCCGTCGTGGTCCAGCTCAGCGTGAGCGAGGACTGCTGCTCCTGCTGCTGCTCCGAGCCCGCCCAGCCCCCCCCGAGCCCCGGCCTGGGCCCCTATCCCCCGTCGTCCTCCGCCATCAAGGAGCGCCCCTTGGACGGCTCGCTGCCCATGCCCCCTTCGTCCTGCAGCGAGATCAGCAGCGAAATCAGCACCAGCGAGATGAGCAGCGAGGTGGGCTCCACGGCCTCGTCCGACGAGCCCCCACAGAGCTCCCTGGTGGTGCTGCAGGAGCAGCCCCACTACCACCACCTCCACCTCCACCACCAGGCCCACCTGCTGTCCCTGCAGCACCAGCAGGCCCACTCAGCCGGCCAGCCCTGCCAGTACCTCCTCCCCGGCTCGGAGCTGCCATCGGCCCGCAGCTGCTGCGCCCTGCATCCCGCCTGCTTAGCGGGCTCCTTTCAGAGGCAACTGTCCAGTGCCACGTTCTCCAGCGCCCTGTCCGACAACGGGCTGGACAGCGAGGACGAGGAGCCCATCGCCGGGGTTTTTTCCAACGGGAGCCGCGTGGAGGTGGAGGCAGACATCCACTGCCTCAAAGCAGAGCTGTCCCTGAACTCATCGCCACAGACACTGGTGCCCTCATCTTCCACCCAGGAACGCGCCCTCCTCACTCTCCCTCCTCCACCTCCTCCTCCGTGCACCCCGGAACCTCTAGAAGAAGGAGCTGACATGAACCTGGGGGAGGCTGAGAACGGGCTGGAAAGGGATGAGTCGTGGCAAGGCGTCGGAGCAGTAGTGGGGGAAGGAGGAAAGTTGGCAGGGAAGAGGAGGCCCAACGGGTCAGTAGCACGCCAAGAAAAGAGTCACAACCTCATCGAGGTGGCCGCCGATGCCCCCTCCAAGAAGTCCGGAGGCTACTTCACAGCTCCAGCCCAACCCGACCCGGACGATCAGTTCATCATCCCCCCAGAGCTCGAGGAGGAGGTGAAGGAAATCATGAAGCAGCATCAACAGAAACAACAGAAGCCACCCGGGACCGATCAACCCACAGACTACTACGACACACCTCTCTGAGCAACGACTCCAATAACTGCTGCCTCACCTGCTCAGCGGCAGACTTAAAGTTGTCTCCATAGAGATTCTCCAGAGGCCGAATGATATAAATGAAAGAATTTCTTCTTGCTTTGAGGCTGCCATGCTCTACACAGCCTCATCTCTCCAGAAACGTGCACTGCAAACTGCTCCACTCATAGAATAAATTAAGCAAATGAGCCCTTTAATGATACTCAAACCTCTTGAATGGTCCGCGGACAGAGATCCCAGTGTCCAAAGCTGTGCCCTTTTGTCAGACTGTGGGACTTTATTTTTTACAGTAGAATGCCAGCTGAGTATGTAATCGAAACTAGTCTATTTGCAATAGCGTTAGCTTGCCACAACAATATGGATCACAGTTCCATGGTTTATTTGTTTTGTAAGAACTCACCATATCTTTTAATGTGAAAGCAGTGAAGTTGCTGACAGAACCTTTTGAAAACAGAGACACATAATCTTTTTACTATCTGTGAGCAATGTTGAATGGTACACCATTGATACCACACCTAACTCTTGTAGATGGGGCACTTAAATACTGTATTTCTTCAGTAAATCATGGCCTGTAAAATTACATAGAAAATTTTTGTAGAAATTTGCATTACTAACTCCTAGGAGTTGCATACTCTTTATGGTGACTCAGTCACTTTTACTAATCTTCTCTGAGAGAAATGGTGATTTTTTTTCCAATGATTGTAAATAAGATTAATGTTGTTTACTGATGCTTCTAAAGGAACTGGATACCTGTATGTCGGTGAAGGTTTTAGTGGTGCAGAGGAAGTTTTGTTTGCTCTTATGGGGGCGTCCCCCACCCCTTTTCCTTACAGTGTAGACCCACAAACAGAACATACACACAGATGTAAATGTGCAATTACAGAACAGAAACCAACATTCCGTACTATATAAATACACTAAGTTGCTATGGTTTGCTCCACTTTGTTAAAATTTGATGTCCTGTAGTCATCACTGTATCTATTGAACACTAATGGATCTCTGCATGCACACAAACACACTCATGCGCACACACACACACACAAGCAGACATGACATGCACACAGAGACATGGACATTTGCAGGTAATATTAGTTCCACCTCCCTCCTACAACTGTTATCACCGGCATGACTGTGTCAAGTTCAGTAATACAAACAATTATATCCACATGGAAAAAAAGAGACAACACAAATGTTCCTGTCTTTGGTATAATAAATTTTAAATTTGTGAATATAAATGACACTGTCTGAGATTTTTTTTGTATCAGTGACCAGAAAATCATTCAATTAAGTACATTTATTTTAAAATGAGCAAAAAATTTAATTTACAGGAAAACCCTGTCACTCCCATGTTTTTACAACCAATGACCAGCAGGTGGCAATCCAATCTAAAGTTGAATCGAGTCATGATCCCATTCTGAATTTGAAGAGATCCTTTTCTGTTGTGTTCTTCTCTTGTTCAGTGTCGCTTATGAGGGATTGTTAGTATGCGCATTTCCCATGACGACACTGTTATCATGTACTGGCTTCTTATACTTTTTCTTCACACAGATTACACTGACTACTGTAATAATCAACATTACCCCAAGTACAGACAGAGAGGAGGCAAGCGCAAGAATGGTTTTATCCTTGACAGATCCCTTGTGCTGACAGCTGTTTCCATAGTACCACCAGTCATCACCCACCACACACCTGGAGAGCAGAGGAAACAACACTTAGATGAAAATCACATTTTTAGGGTTTTTCGTTATTGTCTATGTTGTGTATTCATCGTGATGCAAAACTGGCAAAAGTAAATATGACAACATAAAGTTATTTCTTATGAAGCATTAATGGGAAGATTATTGGGAGACAACCTCTTTTGGAATAACAGTTGTGCTTTGGAGCTGTTTTAAGTTTTTTATTCTCAAAAGGAAATGCAGTGTGGCTTTTCAGCCAGTATATAATTGTAAATATAAAATTATTTCTAGAAAACCTGTTAGAATTTATCTGTGGAAAGAGACATTTTTAACCTTTGACCGGAGCAAAGATAGCTCACTTCATTCAAGTCTATGTACTGATAAAATCAACCTGGCTTTAATGTCATCTTTACAACAAAAGGTAAGAAGTATTTTTTTCTATTTATCTTATTGTTTTCACCCCTCAATAAGCAATTAAAAGATTTGCTTGAAAAAGTATTCCTATGTCATCATACCTATACTGCCCAAAAAAATAGTAAAATTAGTCAATAGAGACTTGATTCTTCATTTTAGTTTTTTTTTTCTACAGATATTCCAATTATCATGTTTGTGTAGAGTATTTGGAAAAGCAAAATTAACCCATATATTAACTTTACCCATATGCCTCATATTTGATACATTTTCTGAGCCCTTTTGCATCATTTAATGGTAAAACCTTTGCTCAAACAATCAGATATGACTGATAACAGTGGGCAGAAGACCACACAACAATAATTTTGACTCAGCCCACGGTAATAAATGATAACTATTACAAAATTATTTATTTTTCCCTGTTTTGTTAAAGGGACAAATTTAGACTTCACCCTAAATAAAAATAATTTCTATAATTTATTGGGTCAGGCTTTAAAGGGATAACTTATACTGATTAAGCTTCTCAGCAACACAGAGTAACCAGCATAAACTTTAGTGCTTGCACATCTCTCCAGATCAAAAGCACTAACCTGCAAGCAGCTTCTCCATTTTCCCCAATACAGATGCCCCCATTCTGGCAGTGCACGTTGAGGCAGGGATCGGTGAGGTTTGTGGTTGTTGGTTGTGCGGTTGTGGAAGGCAGAGGTTGGCTTGCCGTCAAATGGGACACATCTGAGGAAGGAGAGCAAATGTAAGAGCAGATTGATTGGATGCACAAGCAGCAGTGGTGTAATTGTGATAAATGAGCAGTAGATGATGAACTGAAAATAAGGATGCGGTTTAAAAAGAAAAAGCTGACACACTGATCAGTTTTTCGGGGAAGAGATTTCTTCCAGTATGTCTTAGCTGTAAAAGATTGTTGGATTTATAGTCTTATCTGGTGCTATTACCCTCCATGGTGAGGAGAAAGATAGCATCTCCTCCCTTGATGAAATCCCTGCTTTTGGCTCTCAGGTGGGAAAGATACACTGCAGTACCAGCTGGTGGTCCACGGAAATATTTAGATCCATCAGTATCTGTGACTTCAACCCCAATCTTGCGAGGATCATCCCAGAAAAAAATGTCAGAGTCTGTAAGGAGAATAAAAAGTAAAAAACATGTTAACCTTTTAGTTTATTGATTTAAAATCGATGTATGAGATTTTTTTTCATTGAGAGCTGTAGCACCTGTTGCCTTCATGGTGGGGTCAGCGGTGACGCTGCGCTGATTGGACATGCGCTTTTGGATGTGAGGGTGCTGGTCCATTAGCATCATGGTCATTTGCTTCCAAGGGCACGGCCATTTCTGTCCGGCGTCTCCTTCACGGGCGACCAGACGAGCATAAGCTGACAGCTCATCGGAATAGCCGGCTCTACCATTAGGGTACAGCTCCATTTGGAAGGTATAGCCCTCCTTAGATGTGAAAGGAGGGCTAAAGATAGACATGTTTGTTGGGGTGTTGTCCATGACGTGACTGAAGTTTTTCACTCTCCATATAAACTCGGGACATGTCGTCTCAGAAAGGTTGATATCGTCCAGCGACAGGCCCCCTGCTGAAGGCCCAGAGCCCTCCTTGGACCCTTGAAAGACCACTCGGAACTTTGTTTTGACATCTAGACTCACATGGTGCAGCTGCCACAGCTCCTGAGGGGATCCTGTTACAGAACAGAAACACAAGCTTTGTTTTTTTTAAAGCACCAAGTACACTATGGTATCATTTTCTAAAGCAAATGTCTGTCGACATTCAAACTTAGCAACGGTCACCATCAATAGTCTTTATAAAGCGTAGAGTTCCATTGGGGTTGGCATTGTCGTACTCTCTGACATAGATCTTCAGCGCGTCGCTGGGCCCAGCGCTGTTGTAGTAGAAGAACTCCAGGCACTGATACCCTCTTTTGGGGTAGAGGAGCCTGCTCTCCAGCACTGCTGCGTCTCCATTGTTGGCCGTGCCAGTGCTGAAATGCATGAAGTAACCTGAGCCTGAGGATAAAAACGCTTTTCATTAATGATTTTGGGAGGAATACAAGACTGTAAAGACTCATCTGCGGTGAAGTGAATAAGTATGCTCAGGTAAAAGGTTCCGATATTATTCGAACAATAAGTCTGCTGAGTTGATCTGCATTTGAAATAAGAAAAAAAAGTCTAGAGGCACCCATATGGATGAAGAATTGGGTTTTAGCTCCCGTCTCTTTAGGACAACAAAAAGACTCAGTCGGCTCAGTGTGATTAGATTATTATTCACAAAAAAAAACAACCGAAAAAATGCTTTATTGAAACAGTTAATTCTGTTTCCATAAAAGGTCAAAACTAATACTAGACATAAAGCAGATATATTTCATGATAGTCAGCAGGGAAAAAAAGCACCATTTATCAACATTGCTACAAAAATGCCGTTTTTATGTTTTCTTTTTTACATCCTCCAAATGGAGATAGAAGAGCTGTAGGGATTTTGTACATAAAGACATAATTTCAAACAAAGATGCGTGTTTGCATCATGTGTGAACATCTCTTTCCTTCTCACCGGTGCATTTGCCCATATTGGAGTAGTCTGTGTCAGGCCCCCCAGCAGCTCTGGAAACCCTGACCCAGTCGGCATTGTCTCCCTGTCCCTGGATCATCCCACAAATGTTCTCACGTTCGAAGTCACAAGAGTCCAGGAAGGTGGAGCCCTGAGCTGCAGGATATTTCATAAACACAAGAGTAAAAGTACTTTGGACTGCCATAAAATGATTGCACACTAATCCCAATGTTTTACTCATGCACGTATTCCAACGTGACTAAATGGAAACAACAAGCCGTGTTGCTGAGAAGACAATAAAGATTATCCGTGGATCAACCGTGGGTGAGACAGGGAAGGTTTCATTTTTCTGTAAAAAAAATCACTGATGCGGTGTTGATGCTTACCGCAATTATAGAGGCGATTAAGCTTTAGCAAATCACTCTCACTGAACTCCATCCTCTGGCCGATGACGTCACTGAAAGCAGGGATGTTTGTGACTATGGTGGGCTCAGTGCCGTTACGGAAGGCGTTTTTACTGTAGTGCATCATGGAGCCGTAGTCGTAAGGCACGCCCAAAGAGCTGGAGGTGGTGTCATCATAGGTGTTAAAGTTGTGCCCTTTACCTGCAAATCACACATGAATAGAAGTGTCGACAGAATCTGATTATTCATCACAGTGTATTCCTCTACGTCTGAGGATCCTCGCCTAAAGGGAAGATCTCAGAGATCAGAGGTCAGCTTTGATATGCTGATAATACAGTCATTGCTTATCTTGTTAGGATGACAGCCACCAGAACAACTAATCCACATGCTTATCGCACGTGAAAAAAAAAATCCACAGCACCAATAAACTTAATAACAAACCTCTTAAGCATTCCTGACAGGGGTTCATAACACTGCATCAAAACTATTTGGCTTGTAACATTCAGGGAGTTTTTATCAAACTTCTGCCGACAGGTGATGCCACAAAAGGAAAACGTGTATGGGAGCAAAATTGTGTTGCACTGAAAGAACGAGTGGCTCACTACCTTCTGAGATGCGGTCCCACATGATTTGGACATAATCATCACGGTCTGATCTGGATTGCTCATGCCAGAAACCCAGAGCGTGAAGAAACTCGTGCTCAATAGTGGCGATGCGATCGCAGTTTGCTCCTATTGACAGTCTCTGCTTCCCAACTCGCCGATTTCCAACAGAGGAGAAACAGCTTTTGAAAAGGGAGAAAAGACTTTGATAACAGTAACACGGATTTTGCTATGTTTGCCTTATCTGAAATACTTTTTTGTAAACACAGTTTGGATCTCTAATCTCTTAATAGCCTATAAAACAATAAGTTATTTTGTCCTTACCCGCTCCCTTTAAAGATAGAAATGTAGTTTTCTTCCCCACTCCATGGCTTAAAGTCGATGCAGGACTTGAGACGGTACTGCTCAAAGGCCTTCAGAATCACACCTTTTGCATTGATCTCTACAGAGCAGATGATAAGTCAGTAGATTTCAAAATATGTCCTACGTATTCTCTTTTAAGGACGGCTGCAATGAAGTGTAAATGTGATAAAATAGCCCTGGTGAATTATTTAAGCCTGTTAAGGTTTAAGACCACAGCAGCTCTCATAGATCTCTCCAGTCCACTCACAGCATCAGCTGTCAGTGGCTGGAGATCAAACACACAGTACACACTATGCTATAATGTTGTAATGTTCTTTGATGTCAGCGCTAAATTCAAATTAAACATGCAGCATGGTTAGAAATTCATATTAATCCGAAAAAGCTCCATGTATGTTCATTCATTTTGCGCAGTACCACGATAGGTAATTTATTCCTGTAAAAGTACCAAATCAGCATTTTATCAGCGCTTCAGTAAAGGTCAAAGGTTAATGCTGGAATATCAGCAGGAAAATCTACTAAAAGTTTCCCAAAAAAAAAGGATCTTTATTGTGATTGCGGTCAGATTTAAAATAGTTTGCTATGTTGTATCTTAACTGTTAAAAGCAAAAGCGTCTCCTAAATGCACGAACATGATAATTATCTTTTGATTTTTTTCCTTGCCCACATCATTTGGACCTGTAAATTATAAATGTATGGATTAATATACTGTAAGAATGAACGTTTTTAACTTTCATCCACAGGCTTCTCATCTTAATCTGCTGAGATCATCTGTAACTGTAGATATGAATGTAATTAGAAAGGTGGTAAATGTCTGGCTCATCCTGTTCTCATGCAAAAAGGGGAAGTGACCATGTGAACACAGGTCTTAAAGCAGGGCTGTAAAAATACACCTTTCTTTTGCACAACACTTTCTCAATGCTCAACATAATTGATAGATTGAAAACCATTTGATAAAATTTTGATCAGCCGGTTTCAAATGGTTTCGAGTCAGGTTTCAAGGTTTAAGACTAAGAACAGTTACATCATGTAACCTGCTTGCAGAATACACTTGTAATAGACAGAAAAAAAAATCTTGTATTCGTAAGTATAAATACACATGACCTTGTTCAGGTTCTATTGATTTGTTTTGCATTAATCATCATCACCTGTATTAATACATTGACATGTAGAAAGCACAACGGTTATGGTACTTATTTATTGAGAAGAACCCTTTTCTACTGCTTCACATGCTGTTGCAGTTTAATCAGTTGTGAATTCAATCAGTGAATTCATGAGAACTTTCTCATCTTCTAAAAGGTAGTCTTACCCAAGTCATCTTCCATGTAGTATGGGATTGTTTTGGGCCATCTGTACTCTTCCCCTATAATGGAATTTCGGGTTTGCCTCTGCAGGAGCCGGTAAAAGCAATAACAAAGAACAACATAAGTAATCAAGGCTGAAGTCCCGTCCGCTGAATTCTCCAGCAGTAGAAAATTAAAAGCGTTCGGATTAGCATACCTCATCAAGCACAATGTCCCCCTCCACAAGATTCATACCGGCCTCTTTGGAGACAAAGGCAACAAAAGAAATTGGTCTTGTAAGATTACAGAGTTAAAAACATTAATGCGAGGGGAGAAAAAGATTATTCCACACACCTTCATTGATGTCAAAAATGTCAAGATTCCGTCCACCATCTACATCAAGCTCTGCAATTGACAGAGGTAAGGGATATACACAAAAAGAGTTAAAGAGTTAGAAGTGGTGAGGAGAACTTGGAATAGCAAAAGTGGGACATGGAGTGAGATGAGCACTTACCTAATGTCTTTGTAGTTGGCTAAACAATGAAAAATAAAAAGACATTTGGAAGTTATCAGCATGTTTCTTTGAGCTTATGCTTCTAATTATCAATTATAAAGTATCATGTAGAAAAGAAGAGAATCTCACCAAACAAAGACCAGTACCACAAAGAAGACATATTAGATGCAGAATAGGAACATATGAAGGTTTTGTTGCCATCATGTCTTGGAATCCCCCCTCTACAGGGAAGTATGCAGGTGGCAGTACTGAATTCTAAACAGCACTCGGGACGCAGCAAATACTGAACAAAGGTAATAAAATACACATCTTGACAAGTCAATAAGTGACAGAACTGCAAGTGATCTGAGTTATACAACAACTTTCATCCACTTTGCTGCCTCCCAACAAATCTTTACACGTTTACAGGCAGCAGCAAAGCTGTAACGTTGACTCTAATCTATCTTCCCATCAACAAGAAGACACACTGCGGTTCATCAGTCATTGCATCTGATAAGATACTGTAGCTCTTTTTACACAAGTTGCAACACCAAGATTACATAGATAAAAAGATCCCGTGTCCCACATCCACCCATAAACCACATGAGAATGAGTTTCCCATTCAGATACACAAGCTAGAATGATGATATTTTAAAGTAAAAATGCTGTTACAACCCTCATAAAGCAAAGCAAAACACTAGTGAAAAGTAAAAAATAAAACAAAATAGTCTAAAGTAAGATAAGATAGAATAGAATTCAATTAAATTTCATAAGAACCCTTAAATACATGGGCTGAGTATGAAAACAAATTCATTAACAGTTAAACATACAAGTTTAAGATAAATAATCTGGATAAAACATAAGAAAATGGACTAAAAAGATAGATCTTGAGTTTTCCTTTCAAAACGTCAACACTCTCAGCAGCCCTCTGGTCCTCAGGGATCCTGCTCCACAAGTGAACACCATAAAAACTAAAAAAGCCTCTTCACGTGTTTTAGTATAGATTAGAAAAAAAACAGCACCTGAGGACCTGAGGGCTGTACGAAGCAAAAATACATTAGGAGATTTATTCATTTAAAAAATAGAATTCTAAAATCTCTCAAAAAGCACGGGAGGTCAGTGCAGATGCTTTGAGACAGGACCAATAAGAGCTCTGTCTCTGACGAGCTGCTGAGTTTTGTAGATTTTTGTAGATAGATTCAAATTATTTTTAGGAAGACCAGCAAGAATTCCAATACTATTACACACATGGTGCAGAAGTATGCAGATTTAAAATTTGAATCTCACAGAATTTATTCAGAAAATGGGTCGAAAATTCTTCACATTTGACTTTTGTCACAGTCACAGTTACATTTTCCTAAAAGTAGCGCTAGTTAAAAGGTTGTTTTAGGAAGGAGCATTGGGTCATTGTGGGTTACAGTAGTGAATTATGAAGTTCAAAGATCATTCCAAGGCAACTGTTTCCAAAGGTGTTTTCAGATTTCTCACTACAATGCTTTGATCTACAGCACTTCCATTTTTCTGGTCAAAAAGTGTGACGCCTCCGACTTCTGAAAACCCTTCACACACATTATGACTTCCTGTTGCCACTGTTTTGTGCTCCTTTGGTTGCTGAATGACCAGGAAAAATTGAAAGCCGTGGTCCCTCATAAACCCTTAGAGAAACACAAAGGCTTTAGACCAAAACTTTGCCCCCCTCATCACTACAAAATTTAAAGACTGACAATCTCCCTTTGTCACAGACGTTACTCTTGAAAGCCAATGTGTTTGCTGTCATGCTGCATGCTGAGACATTCCGTGTCCTCTGGCAATTGGACAAAAAAAAAAAATCACCTTTGGTCTGTTTTGATGATCTTTTAAGTGCTGGATTTCTGGTGAAAACCTTTTTTGGGAAGTTCTTTGTTCAACACAAAAACAAAAGTATACATATATATGTCTCAAAATAGGAGTCATAGAAAAATACTCATATACCAACTTTGACCATGCTCATATTGTCTGACATTTTTAGCCCACTACATTTTCCCCATAATACACATTACAGACAAAAGTCTTTTTACAAACAAAGTTAAAAATGAAAGACAATCATTTGAATGAATCATCAGCAATAAAGGTTTTTAATTGTGATTTCATAAAAGCAAAAGGAGTTTGATCTTCATTTGTAGTGTAACAAAAGTCTGATACAATGTGGACAAGTTTTTTCTCTGTGGACAACGAAAGGTAGTACCAGATTATCCTCAATGTATTAAAGTCAGAAACAGTTTTTTTCAACTCTCTGAAAGACAGGAGGCCTTAGAAAAGGCCCTTTCTGCTCTGAGTGATGTCCATGATAACACTTAAATCTGCAGCTTTGTTTGTGGCTTACAGGCTGAAATCGAGCGCACTTATTAACGGCTCTTCCTGCAGTATGTGTTTGACTATGTGTAATTGGAGGAAGTTCTGAAACATTCAGATTTTTTCGATTGTTCAAAGCTATCAATGTGTGTGTGTCAGGAGTTATGATACCCTGGCAATCGGATTTGCCAATTTGTGTGTCATCTTAATAGCTATAGCGGTAAATGTTTTTGTTTGCATTAGTGGGATCATATAAAGGTAAAATAGAAGGGAATGTGAAACAGAACTCTGTGGAAACCAAGACATATTCACCTGTTTAAAATAGCAACTATGTCGATATATTGATTTCTTGCTCTGCTATTGGGCTGTTCTGTTGCTCCTTTGTTGGAAAATGGCTCATGGAACTGGTTCATTTGTGACCAAATAATGTTTTTCTTGCACACAGCAAACAGTTAGATTTGCAGTTCAATCACGGTTAACACGATAACACCAGCATGATAAACTGCTGTGTCATTTCTGTGTCAAGAAAAATAAAAAATGTTTTAACTCTCCTCCAGTTTCGTAGCACAAAATCTTTTTTTTTGTTAAATAGTATACACGGTGTACTTGTGTTCAAGTAAAGCTATTAAAAGAGCAAAACATTGTGCCCTCGTGCCTTAAGCTGACTTTCTGACTCTTTGATAGTAGTAGCAGCAATCATATTTTTTTCTGTCCTGTCTTATAGTTAACAGTTAATTTTCAAAAATGGAATTTAAAAAAGCCAATTAAACTTGTTTTATTGTATAAAAGTAGTGCCCAGACCGTTGTGTCACACTGTGCCAGTATTTGAGTGTAAGTGGGACAAACCACAAAGACAGAATCACACAACTTTCATTGTGAGCATACCTTGAATGGTTATCGTGGACTTATTTTCAGCTTGGTGATTATGTATTGACATTTCCTTCCCTCTGCTTTATATTACTTAAAAAAGTGAGCTCATGAGATGGATGGAATTATGGAACTAATGAAGCTGAACTGATGCAGCGCGGGCCGCATTTCCACCATGACTTACAAGTAGCAATGAGATATAGCTTTTTGTTCAAGAAGAAAGATGGAGAAAAACGGAGACATGCAACAGCTACTGCAGCCACATTGCAGAACAAAAACGCCATGTCCCAGAATTTTTTTTTTCAGGGTGGTGATTCAGTCTCGGGCAAAACAATTCTTTGTTACGTGAAGGTCTTGAGTGACCCCTGGTGACTCCTGGTCACAGGAAAGCGTCATGTAGATAGTATCTGTGCAGCACAGTTTGGACATTTCCTTTCTACTATTTGACCTTTGTTAAAGTTACAGAGATCACACAGAACAGATCATATTTATATGAGTTTCAATGGGCACATAGCCTTATTAATTCATCACAAAAAAAAAAACTTAAATTAGCATTTCATGGCCGTGGAGTTTTTTTTCAGAGCTATGTAAGTCTTTAAGCTTTGATCCACTGTCACACTGGAATGGTTTTGCAGCAGAAAACGCCAGCATGCGTGAACACGAAGTAAACATGACATGTAGGAAAGAGCGGTCTTACTGGCCGAACATTTTTTTGACAAGCTTTACAGTTTCAGTACCTTTGGTTGCCAGCATGAGTTATAACAGATTTTAGGATGATGAATTTTAATTGAGTTGTGCTTTCTGCTTCTCTGTGGGTTATCTATAAAACATTCATAGGACATACAGCTGGGGTTTAAAAAGTTCCTTAAATGCTACTGTTTTGTCAAACCTAATACATAATGTATTTAAGGTTTAACCAAAGGACTGGTCCATCCCCAAAAAGAAGTCAGGAATTAAAAGTGGGACATGCCAAATGATAATGAGTTGATGTTTGGTTATATCAGATGTTCTTAGACGTGTCAGAAGTTTGAACACAGCATGACTTCAACCCTTTCACCACAGCAATGATAACAAGCTCCTCTTTTCACTGATCTTATGATCAGAGAATACATAAATGTACTTTTTTTCCCTCCACATTCTTACTTTGTAATTCAAATGTGCATGAAAATGTGCATTGCCTGCGGTATTGAAGATGAGCTGTTTGAGTACTCAGACTGTTCCTGTAGGAAGGGTACATTGGAATGGTAACATTGTTGAGGTTTTACTTTTGGAAAACTGCATCTTTTGATCACACTTTTTCATACCTCGTGTGTGCTGTTGCTCTTCCACCACTCATTACCTGCGTCCAGGGCACGTCAGTGCTCCAGTCTGTTCTTGCCGCCCCACCAGAAGGCGGTGGATCTGGGCAGAAGAGCCCCTGCCAAAACCTGCTTGTGCTGGCTCATTTGCTGTACAGGAGATGCATGATTATTGTCAATTCCCATGCTGAACAAGCCTCGTGCTTGATTGTAATGTATGGTAATGTCAGTGTTAATTCATCATGATGGATAATTACCATTCAGCCAAAAAAGAGCAACCAGTTGTTTAAGTTGTGTCCATTTATTTTCCATTCTGGCTTGCATCCTTGGCAGCTGTGTGTGTGTGTGTGTATGTGTGTGGGAGTGGTGGGGCTGTTGAGGGTGGGGACTAGTGTTCAGGGACATCTGTTCAGAGTATGGGTTGACCCTAAGTCAAGATAGGAAATACTTCAAAAGGTAGAGGAGAATCACAGTGAAAAGATTCGACATCTTCCAGAACCAGACTGATAAACAAGTGACGACTAAGAAACTGGACATTATAGCTGTTGACAAAAGTAGGCAGCGGTGACTATACCATCACTTCCAAATGATGGCCAAACCATGAAGCAGGGAGGTGAGAAGCCTCAAACAAACAAAGGGCTGAAAGAGTACGTTGAAAAAAGTTGGATTTGAAGGCAGCAGTGGTAATCCGAACACTCAGGGCCGTGACCCCCAGACTGGGCGAGTGGCTCAAATAGAGTGAGAAATATCTAATTGTATATTATATTACCATATAGTGGTAATGTTTCATTAATGAAGCTACAAGATATTCAGTTTATGTGCTAAACTTCTGTGCAAAACGAGAAATGCTTTGGCGAAAGGCTGCCCACTCCTCTGTGGTCACGACTTTGTGGGAGGACTGTAGTATTTCCTCACAAATAAAGTTTGAATTAAATGCTTGTTCTGCACTCCCACCGGACCACTTTGCTGTGCTGTGTTTTATCTAATCAACAACATTAATTTCTCGCTACACTCTGTGGCCCTGACAATTAATCCTTTGACAACACCATTACACCTTGAATAGAGCTTTCATCTCGAGCGCTGGTCCAATCAGTTCCGGCCTCTATCTGAGCTCTGTTGTACATGAGCGTGTGCATATATGTGGGCATGAATTCGCGCATGTTAAGCGAGGGAGCAAAAGGCTCGCGAGGCAATATTTTCACATGGCGTAATTCTTTTGAAGATAATTAATCCCTGCTTTCAAAGTGTGACAAACTGGATTGTTTCCCTTTTCTCCATTTTTTTAAGACATGATCAAATTCATTTCAAAGTGCCCCAAAATGTGCCTTTGACCCCGTGTGATTTATTAAATTTGTGCTCATATGCTGGGGATGTGCGGTATTGAGTTCCAATTAAAAACAGCATTAACTTGCAGAAGTGGATAACTAATACCTTTGAGGTGGATCCAGGGCTGAAACTAACAGCTATCCTATAAAGCAACGCTTCACTCAGGACTCGGAGTTTCAACTTGAATTGCGGCGAAGGTCATGCTGAGAATTTACCTTCAAAGAGTGATTAAATCTACACTTAATGTGACAAAAATGAGAATGAATATTAACAACGATTAGGAAAAAATCTTATGGTTCTGTTTTAATTCAAAATCCAGCGCTCAGCCATCCACCCATCCATCCTATTGCCGGGCCTATTAGCCTTTCCCACCTGTCAATATGCCAGAGGTCTACTGGACAGGTTGCAAGTCCATCATAAAAGACACTCAGAGACAAAAGAGACGCACAACAAACACGTTCACACTCACTCCTACAGGCAATTTAGAATCATCAGTAACCTAACACGCATCTTTTTGGACTGTGCAAGATGGTATTCCCAAAGAGAACCAGACACAGGGACAACATGCACCATGGTAAATAGACAGAAGAATTAGGAAATTAATTGTAAAATGCAAATAAAAAAGGTGTGCTTTTGATAGTTGCAAATAGTCCAGAAGATGTGCTGATAAAATATGTCCTGTTGCTGTTTATGTGTGAACCCCAGCATAAAAAAACGTATCCAAAGCTAAGCTTACTGTCAGAGGGCAGTCAGTGGTATTCAAAAATTGTCATTCAATTGATGCGTTTTTCTATGCTGGATTCCCAAAGAACTTTTCCCGTGCGTGTGAACAGTGACACGGTCACGGGGACTTCTCCCACGTCGTGCACGCCACGGTGCAGTGGATTCCCTGTCTGCTCATCTTTTATGTCTTGCATTTGGGGTTTTTTTGTGTGTTTTTTGTGTTGTTGTTGGAGTTTAAGTTGAGACACCGTTGGATTCCTTGCCCCCCCGTGGAGAGGAGCGCGCCCACACGGACGCGCGTGTTCTCCTCTCAGCCGTAACTGACGTCATTGATTGACCAGAGCCGCTTGCGGTTTGGGGCATCTGGTTTTTCCAGCCCTTTTGTAGTGAAAACCCTTCAACACGGACGCACAGCCGCATCTGCTGCGCTCTCTCCTCCTCTGCTGGACTCCACAGACAGAAACTCCACGGTGGAAAGGTGAAAGTCATTGGGAAGACTTATTGGAAGTTTGCTGGACGCGACTGTTTACAGAGGTGTCTGAAATCTCAGATTTTTCCTGGGGTAAGGCAATTTAATTATTGATAGTATAAAATCACATGGTGCTGTTGTTTTGTAATTGTTCCTTCTATAGTGTAAAAAACAAAGCTAAATATAAAGTTTAGAGCTGAGACTGTGTGCTGCTGTGACTGAGCATGATGTAGTGTGTGTTGTGTTAGTCCATCATTACAGTTTTACAGCCACTGACAGCCAGCTGAATCCCTTTGAGTTTTCCTTTATTTAGTTGTCACATCGCCAGCAATTGATGGTTTATGAAAACTTCTTGCTCATAACATTGAAACGTAATATTCTGACTATTTAAACTCAAAGTTATGATCAATCTTAAATGTTGCTTATTTACATCGTGTCTAATTTTTCCAGATACAAAATAAAGTCTAAAATGATTAAATGAGTGTAGCTAACTGATGGAACAGCTGTTTAGACTGCTTGTACAGCAACATTAATTAGATGAATATGTTGAAGGGCTTAATGAATCAATGGTTTGACAGATGAAGTATGACATATCAAAGGACGGTAAAAGTTCCAGATCATAAATCTGAACAACTGTTACAGTTAGATTCTAAATTCTACATTTTTCTTTTTTTTGTTGTAAAAAAAAAACGGACATTTTAATCAATCATAACAATTTCTAACCTGAGAACTTACAATGGACACTTTTGAAGAATTTCAAATTTAAGTATGCAAGTAAAATATTATCTAATTACATATGATAATGACGAGCAAAGCAGTGTTAAAAAATTAGAAGTCTTTTCTTCTCACTTCTTAATTTCTCAAGTCTAAGAGAAGAAATTTAATATGAAAAAAGAAGAAAAATTATAAGAACAGATGTGCCAGTGATCAGCCTTAATGAAACAGTCTGTTTTCAGATGGGGTTGTTGGCTGAGGACATGGCATTCCACTCCAGCATACCTGTGCCAGTGGATATAGCTGTAGCTGTGGTCTACTCTGTTTTTGGTAAGTTTAGTCTACAGAATTTAAAATGAACTTTTAAAAAAATATTCCACAAAAGTAAAACAACTGAGTTAATAATGCTATAAATAAGTTTTTTGCGGCAGAAATTTCCCAGCACAAGGAAAGAGGGCACACTGAAAAATATGTTTCCGCTTGCTTTTTATTCCCCTCTAAATATAATATCCTTCCTTTATCCATGCAAATGGGTATTACAATTCTGAATGTGTAGTGGTTTCACATCTGTTTGTGATTTTAATTCTGATCCTACTGTGTGGATAGTTTTTGCAGACCTATCGAGGAAGCTTGATGTATTATCTATATTTGAACATTTGAAATTCCACTCACTGAGCAATGGAAAAAAAACCTTGCCCAGGTTAACTTTAATCTCGTCTTCTGATATTGGTATTTCTGAGGAATCTATGTAGTCAAAGGCTCCCTATAGATAGGGTGTGAAAGCATTATATTGCATATTTATTCATAATACCCCCTACTGTTATGCCTGTAAGACTGCAGCCATATCAGAGTCCTACAACTAAACCAAGTTAAAAATGTGAACTTGTGATACATTCATGTTCTTTTTTAAATAAGTAAAACATACACATACTACACAGCAGTTTATGGTCCAGTTTACAGTACTATTTGATGATTGTATTTCTAAATCAACCAATAATCAACAATCCTTATTTGCAAAATAAAAAATATTGGTTGCTAATCTTAATTACTCAAATTAAATCCTTATACTTCCACAAAATAATGGCTTTTGAACTTGAAAGAAATGTGTATTTAATTTTACATTGCTGTTTAAGTCCAATGCCTGCAGGGAGCCCTCTGTGGAAACCACCAGAATAGTTTGAGTGGTGAGAACAATTGTCCTACTGGCGATCACCACTTTGGTCAAGGAATTCCATGGGATGTGTATTCCTTGTGAAATTTCCAGTTGAATATTTCTGATTTTAACAGCAGTTTATCTACATCTCACATCTTCCAGTCTAAAATCAACTAATCTTACTCATCTGTACCTTAAAAGCTCTTTGAACTTTATGCATGGCCGAACATGCAAGGGTTTTGTTCAAACTGAACTGTTTATCTTGGTGATGTTAAAGTGTCACTTTTGTTTCTGCAGGAGTATGTTCACTGTTTGGCAACAGCACTTTGCTATATGTGTCATACAAGAAAAAACACCTACTGAAACCTGCAGAGTTCTTCATCATCAACCTCGCTGTGAGTGATCTGGGCCTCACTCTGTCCCTCTACCCCATGGCAATAACTTCAAGTTTCGCTCACAGGTACCAAACTTAACTCATTTGCTGCCATACAAATAATACAGCAAATCAACCAAAGAATGCCCAGTTTTTCTCCCTCCCAGAAAAATGGAACTGGTTGTAAATCAGAGTAGCTTTCGCATTACACGGCTCGTTTGATCACATGGTTGGTTACCGATATGATTGCCTGTGAGTTCACAGATATGGAGTGTCCTGTTAAAGCTATTCTCCTATTTCTCCTCCTCACCTTCTCCCTCATTGATCTTTTCTCTCTGTCTTTGCTCTGCCCTGCCCTCTTTTTCACCCCCCATGCAGGTGGTTGTATGGGAAAACAGTGTGCTCCATATACGCATTTTGTGGCATGTTGTTTGGCCTCTGCAGTCTAACCACTCTAACCCTATTAAGCGTGGTGTGCTTTGTGAAAGTGTGTTACCCACTCTATGGTAAGTGTTCAAATAAGGATTGCTTACATGAAATAGAGCTAGTCATAATTTCTGTAAGAGGTTCATTGTGGATAAACTGTAGCTTGAGAGGAAAACATCACCAGTCCTTGGAACACTGCACATTTGCCACGCTTTGAGTCTGACATTGGAATGAAGTTACTCTCCATAAGAATTACCTGTGATGTTGGTTAATGCAATGCACTTAGTCTTCTTATTTAGTGTCAGGAAAGTTTCTAAAAACGTAATAGAAATAGAAACGTAAGTAGAAATGTGAAATTGACATAAAGATATGAACTTTTGACTCCATAAATTTATAATCTCTGCATATTTACAGGAATCCTAATTTCCTTATGAATTGTTCTTCACTGTATGTTAAGCTGATATAACATAAATCAGTCATAAACCTACTCCTCCACCTATTACTGGAAGCTAATGAGGCATGCAGATGCCTAATGTTTTATGCTCTGCCTGAGCTTGTGTAGGTTAAAAATGATCAATTATTTCAATTATTTTATGTTCTTAAAGCGCTGGAGTAAAATGGTTTCAACTGCCACTTGTCTTCTCATTCTGCTAAAAAGGATAGTCTTTTAATTGCCTAGAAATTAGTAACTTGATCGATCAGTTAGACAATCAGTCATTCTACTGCATGTGCTCACACATAACCTGGCACTCATAAAACAAGCATGTGTAGTGAGAAAGCATGTATCTATGCTATGGCCCACATACAACAGTTCAAATTAGGCACATGCATGTGTGCAGTCACAAAAATTATATAACCAGTAAATGGAAACAGAAACACAAATTGTAAAAATTGACTGATATGCCCGGTTCTTCCTTTGTGTGCACACGTTATTAACCATGAATACACATGGCATGCACGTTTGTCAGCAGGTCTTTGTTGTGTGCTTGTTTCAAACCTTGAAACTATCATTGTAATTGTTTTTTAAGTCAGGGTGAGTAGAATCTATCAGGAGCTGAGGAAATATTTACATGGTATACAATGAAAGTCATACAGTTTTCTCTGTTTTCAAGTTTGATAAATATTTTTATAAAAGCATGAGAAAAAGACAAACAACATGTGTTACTGTTTCAAGTAGCTCTCGAATGTGATTGGTCAATACCTCTCAGAATACATATGAATTTCAATCAGAAAGCTGTCTAAAGGTAAGCCTCCGTCTGAAACAACTCAGTGTGTGTGAGGAACATCAACACCTTGCCCCTAACCTACTCCAACCCTTGGTGTCCCGGAGGGAGAGTGTGCATTCTTGTAAGAGACTTATTCAAGGAACACCTTCACCACAGTTTGAAGTATAGTTAAGCATGCTGCACGCTGTGCAAGAAACCGCTGGTGGCGACCCCATCCCAAACAAAATCGAGAGCAAAAAGATTTCGATAAATGCTTTTACCTGAAGTAAACCGCAGCGAGGACCTCCTGTTCGAAAACTTTAGTGAGTTTGCCTCATGCTTGCACTGCACTACATGTTCTGCCAGCACAGTGATGCAGCAGCAGCCTCATCATTTTCTCTCCAGGATGGACAATGGGGCTGTTATGTTTCCATCAGTTACACAAGCGGACACACATGTGGAATGATAACCTGCGAGAGACCAACAACCTCTTTGGAGAATTAAAGTTGATCATTCAGACGATTGATAACAAAAAGATAACAATGGGCTGTGGTCAATTTTAAATGCAGCCTGCAGAAGGTGACCGGGTGTGACACAGAATGAAAAGCTGGTTAATTACTTTTTCATTTCTAAGATAATCAAATGCCCAGGATGACTAACCTTCAGAATGGTAGAATCACAATGTTGATTTCTCCATTCTGTGTATATTCTAATATTGTTATTTTGTCTGTGTGTGAGTTTTTTCTTGTTTTTACAGTGAGTGTTTTGAAAGGTGGTTTTAATAATACATATTGTTGTTATTGTTGGGGAGGCTAACACTTATTAACTATATGGATGCTAGTGTGTGTTTGAGCAAGGAAGAGCCTCTGAGTGGACACTGAGGTATCTTAATGACGTAACATCTCAATCAAGCTGACCATTGATGGGCATTAGCCTCTAACTAAATATTTTACATAATTTGATTTAACATCTTAATGACATTTTGAGGTAAATATACGGATAAACGGAGTGATGTAACCCCATGAATGAGAAAATATTAACCCGGTCTGTTTTTCACAGGAAACAGGTTTAACTCGGTTCACGGCCGTCTGCTCATTGCCTCTGCTTGGGTCTATGCCCTGCTGTTTGCTGTCTTCCCACTGGTCCACTGGGGCGAGTACGGACCGGAGCCTTATGGCACAGCCTGCTGTATCGACTGGCGCCAGTCTAATCAGTACACCACAGCACGCTCTTACACCGTCGCACTCTTCATCTTCTGCTACATCCTTCCATGCTGTGTTATTGTTGCCTCCTACACAGGCATTATGGTCACTGTTCAAGCATCACGGAAGACCATGGAGCAGCACGCATCAAGGCAGACACACATGAGCAGCATTCAGACAATCATTGTAAAGGTAAGAAAAGCTCTATAAACAAAGTTAATAGAGGTGAGATTTGCATTACTGTGTGTGCCGGGATTAGTCAACACTGAGTCATGATTGCTTGGGGGAAAGGAAACAAACTATTTAAGCAACTCCTGAAATATTCATCTTTTTGATAGCTCCCTAAACTATCAGTTGCAGTGACCTGACCTAAATAGATCTTTGTGATGTAGGTTTTTATTAAAATGAATTGACTGCCTGTACTGTGATGGATGTAAAGTAACACTTGCCTTTGCTCATAAATTGTACTGAGCTCCAATTATAATAAAAAAGCATGAAATTGAGTACCTCTTTTTACAATCAATCATGACTTAGTTTTTTTAAGATAAAGAACCACTTAAATTCTGTCATATCTGTCATTAAAATGAAGTGTTAGCACAGCGTCTGAAAACCTCATACAATCTTGGCCTATCTGTGACTCTAAAAAGTCATTACAGTCCCATAGAAAGCAAAAACAAAGCAGTGAGCTACTCTGGTCATAATTAAAAAAGGGAAAGAATTAAAAATCAATATGAATATGTAAATAGAAAATAAGAATGTTGATGTAACCTAAAATAAGCTGCCATGGTCTCATCCTTTCAAAAAAATGTTTAAACACAAAGTGAGCTTATACTGGCCACATTTGTGGATGCTAAATTAGGATATGGAAGAGTTCAATGAAATGTTAGGCCAAAATTTCACGTCAAAATGGTCAACATCCTATACAATTTAGCCAATGGGTCCAAGTGGCCAGCTCCAGTGACCCATATGGAGGGTGAGGATGAAAGGGAATGTAACAACATAGCATTTGAATATACTTTTAGGGTAACACAGCTTTTTAAAAGAGGACACTTTTAAATTTGAAACCCTTCTCTCTCTTTTTTCAAGCTAAGTGTAGCTGTCTGCATTGGTTTCTTTGCGGCGTGGAGTCCATATGCCATAGTTTCCATGTGGGCTGCCTTTGGACGCATTGAAAACATTCCTCCTCTCGCATTTGCCATGCCGGCTATGTTCGCAAAGTCCTCCACCATCTACAACCCAGTAGTCTACCTGATGCTGAGACCAAACATCCGCAGGGTGATGTGCACAGACCTGGGTACGCTATGCCACACGTGTCTGAACGGGTGCCTTTGCCACAAGGACCCAAAGTGCTGCTCAAGGTCAAAAATCGGGATCAGATTTGGAAAAACTCCCAGAGAAAACCAAGAGTTCCCTTCATCAGTCTCATCTATTCAACCGCCTATCGTGACAAGAAAGGATGCCAGCTTTCAGAGGTGCGAGGATAGTTTTGAAAGCTGCAGACCCTGCCCAAAAATGTGTGGAATCACCAATCTAGCTGCCAGTGGAGCATCCTCAAATTGTCAAGACAGTCCAATTTCCCTAACACATAAGCACATCACAGAGAGGGAGTCTTGCAAGAAGGCCCTGGTAGCCACAGTAAGGACTTCAGAAACAGCCAACCTCCGCATCAATTTAGAGATGATTCCAAGACACATAAAAGAGGCTTGGCCCTGATCTTTTGTGTAAAAGATGAAATCTGAAAAAACATTCGTAAGTTTTAAACTCTTAAATCAATGAATTACTTTTTCAGGGAACCTTATTTGGGAATTGACAATATACTCGCACATTTTTCTAAGGCATAACCTTTATTATGCCACACTTGACAAATACAGGTATATAGTGGTGCTCAATCAGCAACGCAATATAATTGTGTACCATTATTTTCCAGGTATGTTTCTCCATTATGAACTTCATTGAAGTCATTATGTGTACAGTGTCTGATATGTCTTTACTGTCTGATAATGTAATATAGACAAAAATGAATTAAATAAAAGGAGAGAAGCTAAATTAATCTGTTGGACCATAGAAATGATCATATCATTTGTAATTGTTACATGTCATTCTATTGTATGCAAGAGTCATGATGACATTTTGGGAAAGATTCAGGAACATTCAGGATCGTTCAGTGTTTGAAATGACTGCTTTGAGTCCTAGCTTGTTAAAGAAATGTTTCTCTTGTGTCAGCTGATTGTAACGGTTAATGGTAAATGATTCCTGTCTAAGTGAAATATTGTTGTTACAGTGAGTGTTTCGTCTCTGTCACATGTTGCAATAAAAGTATTCGCTCAGATTTGATAAAATGGCCATTTAAGCATCCACTTGAAATCAAGAGATCTCAGGATTCAGTTAAAAAACTTGGATTCTAAGAGAAGGGATTCATTTTCCTCTGTTTAACTTTATTGAAATAAATAAAAATATGACTCTGATGTGGAAAAGGACATGACTACTTGCTTATTATCATCTCAAATCTAGCATTTTTTCAACGAAAAAGGAAAGGGCACACTTGCCTTCATGTCTTTTGTATTCAGTACTTTTTCAAATTCACAAACACTCGTTTTCAGGCCACTTTGGTTTTGTTTTTGGTGTTTGTTGTACAGATAACCTTCCCTACATGTCGCAGAGGGATGATTGAACTGACATGCCTGGGTCAGTAATATGGAGACAGCATTGTACAGCATAAGTAGATGAAAGGCACATATACAGTATATTAAAAAATCCATTACATTAATGAATACAATTCATTCTGAAAGGGAATCAAGAATATGGAAGAACTGCTGACCTGCAAACCACATTGCTAAAACAATCAAAATCATATGACAGTGTTAATTTAAGACACATACCTACATTAATTATTGTGGATTGCAAAACAGAAATTCTGCATATCACTGCTGGTAATGCTCACAGGTACGTGGAGAGGAAGAGGCTTGTGATGCCACACCTCAAGTCAAATACTGAGGAAGACATGAGGAAATATCCAATATGGTAAATCTAAAGTCACATGTTTTTTTATGGACACTCCAAATGTTCCCATTAGAGTCTGTGTGGTTGTTTGTCTCTGTGTGGCCCTGCGATGGACCGGCCAACTGTCCAGGGTGTACCCCTCCTCCCCCCCACCAGCCCGTTGGGAATAGGCAGTACAGAAAATTGATGTTTTCCTATGATATATTATTGCACTGCACTGTGGAGTTAACATTCAGCTTCTCTGAAAACTCACCTTTTCTGTGACTGAAGTCGTTGTTTGTGTGTGTGTGTGTGTGTGCTGGACTCCATAATTATGTACCTAGGATGAGTTGATGAGTTCAAAACACACATTCACTGTTCTGTTCACAAGGAGGTGATACAATACATCTTAGGTCTTCTTCATGAGTTAAATGTGAACAAATACTTTAGAAAGTAAGTATATGTATGTAAGATTACTTTTACTTTTACTGTTGCTTTGTCTGTATGGGACATCATGGCACGAACATAATCATTGTTGAAATAAATTGAATTAAAAAAAAAAAGACAATGATTAAAAATTCCAGAAAGAAAAATAAGATGATCCCAAAGTTGGGAGCATTATGACAGAAAAAAATGCATTTCAAAAAGTTTATCCAAGTTTATCTGTTGTGTTTCCTGTCTTCCAACACTGGGGTCAGTTCTCGTATTTTACGATAGTCTATAGTACTGTTTCACCAACAAAACACTGAAAGTTAGCTTCTTTTTTTTTTTTTTACTTTCATATCTCCTTTTTGGATAAAATGTGATCCATTAAATGGTTAGAAAATTGAGTAAGAGGGGATTTGGTCACAACAGCTTGAAGGAGATGTGGCAATTCTGCTTAGTTGCAAAGGACTATGTCATATAGGAGGAAGAACAGCATTTATCCAACATTTTCTGGATGACTTCTACCTTTATGGTTCCATCTAAAGCTCGACAAAGCCTCCCAATTGTACACCCAATACATCCCTCCTTCATTTTCCAGCGCTCAAGCATCTGGTGCACCATCTCTGGCAGACCGTCTCGGTAGTAGTCGTGTTCTATGGTTTCGATTTCCACATTATTCAGACCCAGGCGGCGTGCGCAGCGTTTCCATTTGTTCCCAATGTTGTCCCTCAGCAGATCCAGATGCTCCTCTGTCACAGCATGGTCGTCTTAATAAAAGCAGTCAACAAGTGGATATTTGTTAAACGGTGAAAAATTGTTGCAAAACGCTGTAAAGCTGGAATATATTGCAATAATGAAGAACTAATACAAAATGCTGCAGTTGGGTAACACATTGAATGTATTACTCAACTGAAAGACAGATTACTTAATAAATCCAAATCAAGTCAGTGCATGGTCATAGTCTGAGTGATTTTTACACGCAAAACAGAACTTTTTATGTTGGGTTCTGTTTGTAATGTTTAACCTTTAGTACATTTTAACACATTGGCATTAGTTTTAGTGGCTTTATTGGCTCTGATCTCACCAGCCAAAACGTCCTCTCACTGGACAAAACTAAACATTTATGGCTGCGGTTTCACTTCCCCTCCATGAATAAAAATCTTAATCATAAGCAATTTGAAATCACAAATTATTTGTATGCATCACATTAAACAGGGGCCTTTGATCAACACTTTACTCATACTTCATTATTTCTTATTTGACGTTTCTCATGTCCCTGGCTCCCTCCCTGTCTTCAGTTTCACAAAAAAAAAGTGGCATTCTCCAACTGCACCAGTGACTGAATCCCCTGCCCTCAAATATATGTGTATCTTCAATGTTATGTAAGAATAAATCTAAAAGAAGGAATCTAATCTAATGAATGAAGAAGGGAATCTAATGGAATATGAGTTTTTAACAACACAACAAATGTGCCTCATTCTGGGGGCCTGAAATCCCCTCAAAAGCTTCCTTATCAGACATATTTGACCATTTCTGTTGCAGTTTTTATCAACTCCTTTTCAAAGTTTTGTGTCTGTGGTTTTTAAACTCTCAGGTGTCTACTGGAAAAGAGATGCTGATCTTAATGTGGCTTATAGATTGATTTAAGTTCAAAGCGTCATGGGTCACTCATGACACATGCCAAGATTAACAGCAATCAGAGAGCAAAAACACACAAGTAGAAGGCCAACATCTATGTGACCTGTTGGTTTCATTCATGCTTTGCAAAGAAGGAAATTAAACACGTGTTACAGCCAGTGAGTGGCTTTTTAAAAAAACAAACAAGTCTCCTGCTGAAATAACACCTCTTTTAGTTTTTAAATCAACTGATTTTATAAATTAAAATAACAACTTAAACAAAACTCTGACACCCCAAATAATACATGCTGTACTGTACCGTATTTCAGAATTCCCTCTTGGATGGGGGAGGCAGCACAGCCAGAAACAGACAGGGAGCTAGGAGAGGTCTCATAACCTCTGATACTCATTGTGTTGTTGCTTCCGATCTGGATGCCACTAGCATTCTGGATGTAAAGGGACCCTGGACACGCACAACACAAGCACAGTGGAGTCATTCTATCCCATACCAGTCAAAGATAACACAAAAAGATGTATCTTAGCCAAAAGGGACATGCTCGTCTGTACCTGTATCCTTATGGGAGCCACTCTGCGAAGGTGTCAAAAGACGCCCGGGATTCATTTCTGGGGCAATGGTGTCAGACACTGGGTAAGCTGGACAGGACTGCTGCCGGTCAAAGCGGGAGTGTGGATGGTGCTGATTATACTGGGGCAGAGAAGATGTGCTGGCAGATGTATGCAGATGGGACGGAGTAAGCGAGGAGCTTGTGGACTCACAAATCCCAGAGTTGGGACAAGGAAAAGCCTCCTCCGGACTGGTTGGCTTCAAGAGCTCGGATTTGCTCCAGGAACAGACAGAGGATCTCTCTTGTGTTGGGTGCCTCACGCAGTAATCTGAGGCGCCGAACGGATTTTTCAGGAAAGGATTTGAAGTGTCATTTTGGCAGTTGCCAGCCTCCAGTTGGCCCTCTGAGAAATAGCTTCCATGTTTGTGATATTGAAGTTCCCGATACAGTTTCTCCTCCAGCTCTGAGCCTTCTCTGCTTGCCCTCGCATCTTCCTGAATCATTTCTCTACTGGGCTCAGACTGGATGTCGTGCAGGTCCTCGATACTGGCTTCAACTGGCAAGGGTACACTTCTGTCTGAGCTGACCAACGAGGCTGGGGAGTCTAAAGACAGTGAGAGATTACGGCAATAAATCGGCAGGACAATTAATATAGAAAAATCCATAAAAGTTCATGCTATCTTAATTACCAACCATGATCCCTTGAGGATAAACTTTGTGGGGTCATTGACAGTGATTTCATGATCTCAACAAGCTCTCCTGGTCCTTCATATTCTCTCTATAGAAAATAATAATATTATAGAATATTAAATAATACAACATTTAACATGAAATCCTATGACAAAATATATTCACCCTTAGAACACATAAATCCTCTTCCACTTGTGGTTCAAGCTTTTCCGTGTAGAAAGGAAAGAAGGAATCGTGGGCCTCTGCACGATAGAAAAAAAGACAGAATTTGAGTACAAATAAAAGATACTAGAAATCATTTTAATGTCACCTTCACCACAAACACAAGACTCATCTTTCGCTAGATGCATTTTTAAATCTTTTGAAAGTATAGAAGTGTGCAAAGTGAGCAATGATACAAAAGAGTAATTACATTAATATAATTTAAGGAGTAAGATTCAATCAAACTTTGAGCTTGATCAAAAATGAAGGAAACAACAACTAAACTAGTAGCTCTGGGGGATATCTTTGTTGCTTGAGACACGTGGAAGGCAGAGGCCGCACCCTTAAATGTTGGTCGCAGCTGGGGATCGTGATCCCAGCACCTCTTCATAAGCTGAACTATTTCTGCTGGTGTGTTCCTGGGAATGAGGTCTTCTGCTGGTCGGTCCCCGTTGCGAATACAGCGGCTTATCTGGTCTTCGCTCCTGGCGTCTGGACGAAGACAAATGCTTGGTTTGAACACCGTTTCACTGTTTTGCCTTGTTTTAGAACATCTGGACGTCCGCTCATCCCGGCTCACTTTCATACGGTTCTTTCCCCGTCAGAATGACCCAAATGACGACCGCGAAACTGTACACGTCGGACTTCTGGGTGGAGGGCGTGTGGATACTCTCCAGGTGCTCCGGGGCCATGTAGCTTAGGGTGCCGGCGCCCCTCGTCCCAGCGGTCCACCCCGTGCGGCTCTTCCTGCGAGACTCCTCCTTTGTGAGCTTGCTCCATGTCTTGCAGGTCGCCAGGCCGAGGTCTGCGATCTGCGCGCAGGAAGCACAGAGGAAAAGACATGCTGCCGTAAATGAGCACCGTAAAAAAGTCGTATATGAGAACTGACTTTTACAAACCTTGATGTGAAAATCCTTGTCCACTAAAATGTTTTCTGGCTTGATGTCCTTGTGTATGACATGACTTTCAGTCAGGTAGATCATCCCCTCCAAGATCTCTAAGATAATTCTCCCCTTGATGGATATTGGCACGCTAACCTGCAAACAGGCAGAATCTTTTTGTTCTTGGTTGTAAAAATTGACTTTGTGAGGCTGAACACTTTGGAGGAAAACTAGTGCAAATGTGAATTTTACATATGTATGAATAAATATCTCCCTTTTTGGCATTCCTAGAGATCTTACACCTACTCACAGTGTCCAGCATGACCATCAGGTTTCCCCTGGGGAGAAGTTCCATAACAAGAGAACAATCTCTATCCTCCATAATCACGCCAAGCAACTTGACCACTCGTTCATGGTTCAGGCTTGCCATGATATTCCCCTCCTCCAGCAGTGATCTTTGGCTGTCTCTGGAGAGCATAGTGACAAAAAGTATATTACGTGGAATCTTTTAGTAGATTTAGAGACAGAATAAAACGACACTCAAGTTTAATATTCTATTCTTGGTTGAATAATTTTTAATCAATACTTTTGCACTGATTCAGCTTGTTGCCCTGTTTGAAAAATTCCAAGATGGAAATTCTACAAGACAATACAAGAGAGAACCGAATGGAACGTTTAGAGATGTTCAATCATGAAGTCCCTCTATGCATGTGCAAGAAAGTGAGCTAAATTTATTTTACATATTTTATAAATGCTGATATGTGATGCTTCCTTTATTAGAAAAAAAGTCTATTACTGATTTACAAAGGATTTAAGGGAGGTATCTGATCTGAAAATTGGAAGCCTGTTCCACATCCGCATTTGTTAAAAGGAAGTGATCAAAACAAAGAAAGGACTGCGTGTGTTTTCTCAGTTGGATGACAACTAACATCAAGCAGTCTTTTTTTTATTTAAATGAAGAATCAAACTGTTAAGCTGCTGTCTAACTCCTGTGTTCTCTCATAAAAAGTCCAAACAGAGGCCACTGCACTGCGCGGCGTTCAAAGCCCTTTTTGTTATGTTGGGCCAGACACATGATTCAAGTTACGAGCCGAGGGGAATACCCAGGATGGTCCGGTCAATCACGAATGAAATGAACACTCACTCGGTGCGAAGAGGACCCGTATACACACTTTTCAACACCACATGGCCGAGGGTTACATGGTAGCACAAGTAAACTTCTCCAAATCCTCCATAGTCAAGGGCCTTCTTCCTAATGAGATCAGTCGATCTCATTTGAAGTGAGAACTGAGGCGCGGTGGCCATCCCTGCAAGAAGTCCCAAAAGCATGAGCTATAGCTCATTTACACTCATTGTAACGTGGCAAATATTTAAATACTTTTTCAACATAAATACAAATAATAATTTTAAAAACTCATGTAACAAAGAGGAAGACTGTCCCGACGTAATGACTGCCCAAAACTCTGACAACACTGAGGGGTAAGCTAACGTATCACATATCCCAAAGTTTGAGCAAAAAGTCCCAATCCAAACCCCGCTGTGACTGAACTCCGTTTACACGCTCAAACAAAAGAGAAGTAAGCTCAAACTGTTACCATAAGGTGCTAAAAAATCCAGATAAAGTCACTTCCTCTGTATATCCGGGATATTTCTTTGACGCCCGACTTTAAAAGTGAAACGACAGGTATGGACCACAAGCAGCCTGACGAGTCGATACCAGACACAGTTAGGATGGCTAGCAGATTTAGGTTGATGAGATTTTTTTAAAAACCATAAATCACAGCCAGAAGATAAATGCAAACACTAAACAAGATTTGCAAACGTGATTTTCGAGCGACTCGTCTTTTTGCCGATGTTTTTCTGTTTTTAGATAGAGAATTCTTTTGGAGCCGTGACTGCACATGGCACGGGGCTTTGCTGCCACCTGGTGGTCAAACATGATACCTTCAAGCAGTGGAGCAACCTTCTTCACAAGTATTGTGAGAATATGTGTTGCAGTAGATGCTGTGTTCAGTTTTTTTCAATTCGACTGTATCTTAACAGCATCTGTTATAAAATAAATAAATAAATAACATACTTCTCTCTGAATTTGAATAATGACTTTGAAATGTTGGAGGACAAAAAATTTTGTATATGTAACATTGCTAAATAAATCAATACGCTATTGCAGAAAAGACAGAGAGGGGGGAAACAAGTTCATTGATAAAACAGGCATTTATATAAAAGTAGAGCGGGAAACCACCTGAATTGTAGCTCATGGTAGTGTGGGTGATGTATGACATTGTAAACCTACTTTCTGGGCAGCCTATCTTTCAACGCCTACACGATAAATTCCTCCTTTTTGCACGCTAAAGCCACAACAAAGCAGTATCGGATTTACCTGTCTTGTGTTGTGCCAGTTTAGTGGCTTACTTTTTTTTCTGTTATTCACATTTATTGCTGTCAATCTACAGATTATTCAGAAAACCTCCAGGTTTCTCTCACATGAATTATATATGTAAATGAGCTGTTACTGACAGGTAGAGAGCAAACTGTTGAGCTTAATCATCTCAGTCTACAAAACTGTCAAATTGATAAAGTGTCATAAGTAGTAATCGCCCCTTTATTAAAAATTGAAAGTTGACCATCCTCACACAATTTAGCAACTTATTTGGAATATCCACTATGAAAATGACACAGTTTAAATCGCTTTAATCCTTTAAATGTTCATTGAAAAGTTCATTGAAAAATTTAGGTAACACATGTTTAGCAAGAATGAAGGAAACAACCTTGTTGCCCAGCAGAATTCTCACTACTTATCTGTCACAGACACTTCCTACTATACAAGTTGTAGTCGTATGTGGTCACAAATACAGAGAAGCAACAGAGTTCGCAATTACGTTTAAACTGCTGGTGGCTGCATCACAAACATGCTGTCAGTGTGGGGCAGTGGGTAGCAGAACTTCCTGTTGATGTTGTTATCATGACATTGATCAGCACAGAACTTCCAGGTACTACACTTTCTCTGTAGTACTCTGTAGCACACATGCTCACATGCTCATATCTGGCCTCTCTATGCACGTGGAGAAAATATTGCCCATGCCTATTGGAGGCATTTTAGAAGACAAGAGATGATGATGATGTTGATGCATTGTATTGCAGATCTTTCATTTTCAATTAAACATTTTCTCAGTGTCTTTTTTTCTGTTTCTGCCACACACAAATTCATTCGGTGTTATGATGCCAACATTGTGCAGCTGTTGCTGATTGATCTGAATAGTGAATTAGATCAGTCCCGTTTTTTTCTGATGATGATCATTGTGTTTTACAACTAAACTTTGAATCGCTGTCTCAATAACGATGATTTGCATTGACCTTAGGGTGAGAGTGAGCATGCATGGTTGCTCGTCTTGTTCATATCTGTGGGGCCCTGAATTGGAACTATGGAAAAATGGACGGAGGCCATGACTGATCATTGCTGCCATTGTTTATGAATATTGTGTATTGGCTGAAAATAAGTTGTTTGTCTGAGCTGCTCTCATTTTTTTTGCACAGCCATCAAAAATATATTTTTTTATCTCAAATTGATTTTTTTTCCTCGTAGTGGGAGAAATCTTTTTCTTATGTCATTTGTCATGTCAGAACCACAAATTCTGACTTCAGAACAACTGGATCAGATGTTCACACTTTGGCTTTATGTCTAACAATAATGTATAAAACTGGACTGATAATTAGTCACGATAAATATTACAGTTAAGAACCTGAATATCTATACTATTGGAAGGAATAAAAAGTGAGAATACATTCAAAGGGAAGCTCTGAATATTCAAAGAGAATTTGGTGAACTTTTCTAAAGGGCTAAACATATGACAGACAAACTTAATTAAAAAAGGTCTCAACGGTGATGACAGGTGCTTGCACTAACGGTATTTAGAACTTCACAAAATATATTCTTTCCTTTTGTTTCGTATCCATTTGGGGGCTGTAGTTAAGTTTATCCTCTTTCCTGTTTTACTATATTCATTGGGCTGCAAGGCTGTGTATAAACAAATGAACGTTCTAACCACCAGGTCAACCATAGATGTAGGCTCACGGAGCACTCTCACGTGAGAGAACTACACGTCCCATGATCCAACACGGGAAGCTCGGCCAGTAGTACTCCGCTCGCTCAACAATCTGTGAAGTGGATTTGGGAAGCACTCGGCTCGCGAGATAAGCATTTCACAGATTAAAGAAACAGATTGTGGCGTATCTTTCGGGATGGGCAATGGAATCAACAAGGTAGGGTTTTTCCTCTGACCCCCGCGGGTAGCCGTCCCCATTATTATAGAGAGGTTTAAGGGCTGTGCATTTTCTTTACATACAGTGCGTGTGCATTGTTGACAGATTTCTGGGAATCGCTGATGAATTACCCCAGTAAAATGCAAACAACGACTGTACTATTTCTATGCATGACTTCATATTTCCAGGTTGTCTGTTCAAGTCAGCTGTTCACTTGTCATCTCCGGTGACCAGTCCCACTTCTTTTTTCCCTTGTAGGTTCTCCCTGACTTATACTTGGGGAATTTCAAAGGTGGGCCACACTGTAGTTTATAACTTTATGGAGTTACACATCACCGCGATGTATTATTGAATTCATTTGTGTTTTTTTTATCCCCAGATGCAAGAGACAGAGAACAGTTAGCCAGAAACAACATTACACACATCCTGTCCATTCACGACAGCGCAGCTCCCATCCTGCAGGTGAGGACATTTCAGCCCTCAGGTGTGTGACAGGGAGTGTGTGTCTTACACGTCCCTCCACTCCTGTGGTGGAATAAAACATGAAGGCAGAACAACAGACTGGTTTGGTGGATCACATTAGACGCGGCCCAAAAAGCAGTCCATCGGGTTATTCAGGAAGACTTTGAGCTGTCATCGCTCATCGGATCCGATGACCGAGCGGGGGGGGTTACTCATTTGTTTTCTTGGAGTGGAGAATGCTCCACTCCACATTCAGAAAGAATGCCAGTCGACAACAGTTGCTATACTCTGTATGCAGCGTGGTGAGCCTGTGGAGGTGTCAGAGTAGGTGGTTGTTCTGTCATGCAGTCAGTGTGGACTGAGGTGTTCTTCATTATGCCAACTCTCTATAAATTATTGACTTAAGTATGAACATACTTTTTAAAGTTTAAAGTACAAAACGACCTGTTGTACTTTCAGTCCTGCCTAAAAAAAAAGCAAAAGCAAAAATGTGACCGCAAATGAACTCGGCGTAGAATCGTACCACATCCCAGACTGCATTCAGCCATGAGCAACATGTGCACGAAGATTTAGTGAAACCACAAATAGGTTCCTCTGTGAAGATTGTATTACCTTCTGTACAAATGATTGGCGCTAGATACGTCGTGTCAACTGACTGCTGACAGATAACTGCATGGTTTGCTTCGTCCACCAGGAGATGACCTACCTCTGCATTTTAGCAGCTGACCTGCCCACACAAAACCTGTAAGTACCAAACTGTGCAGCACGGCAACACAGCGCACAACAATGAAAAAGCTGAGGCGCAGAGAGAGAACCACATCCATGCGGGGCTGCACTGTGTGGGTGTCTGAGGTTCATTTTCTTCAGGCCGACGTGCATGTGATACGCTTTCACGAGCTCAACACTTAACTGTGAAATCATTGTTTCACACACACCACGGTAGCACAGCTGCATTCAACGTGTTGGATGGCTGTTGTTTTGTCATGAATACAAGATACCGAGGCTTGCATTTGATACATTTTTTTTATGATAAAGTGTGAAGAACAAAAACAGGGTGCACTGTCTTCTCAGGCCAATTTTACACCTCACACAGCCATACATCATTACAGGCCAACTACCCATTATCACAAAGACACACAAACACGCTCACAATCAGTGTGGTACAGTTAATTGACTTTTGTACGTTTTTCCAGTGTCACTGCTCAGTAAAGACTTGGTCACCTCTGTTATCTTCTTCTGAATTTGTGCAGAATTTTACTTATTTACTCCCACAATGTTTTCCGGCAATTTCAGTTTAAAAAACTTGCAAATAGATTTTTACATTTTTTTTAGAAAAACCTTTTGCGTATTAAGTGGTTAACATGAAGGGATGAAAACGCCTGTGTTTTACCCCAGCAACGGTGGTTATACAACTACTTTATTTCGAGAGCAAGTTGTGTTATGGCCTGTAAGGCTGAAAAGTAATGCATGGTAACTTCTAAGTGACAAAGACTTGGGCCAGAATTGATCTAGTGAGGAAACTCAGCAAAATCCCCGAGACAAAGAGAATGATCAGAAAGTCATTCACACAGATTTGCAAGAAGGATTTACAGTTACAGTAAACACATACTCATAGTAAACACATATATTCAAAGTATACATAATGGATTATAAAACTTTACTACTCACAGATCTATTACAATAGATCATACCCCAAAATACTTTAATCCCTCTCATGATCTTCATCAGTTTTTTTGAGACAACTTAGTGTTTGTTTTTTTAAACCTGTAGTTGGAAATATTACACCAGTTCTTTCAAACCCTGAGATTAACACACTCTTAGCCTAGTCTGTCCTGGGGGACATCCATCCATCCGTTATCATAACCGCTTATTCCTGAATGGGGTCACGGGGGAACTGGAGCCTATCCAAGTGCTCAATGGGCGAGGGACGGGGTACACCCTGGACAGTCCGCCAGTCCATCGCAAGGCTGAAACACTGAGACACACAAGGACAAACAACCATTCACACTCACTCCTAATGTCCAATCAACCTACATGCAGGTTTTTGGACGGTGGGAGGAAGCCGGAGAACCCACGCGGACGCAGGGATAAACATGCTAACTCCACACATTAAGGTCCTCCTCCCCCCGGATCTCGGACCCAGAACCCTATCGGTGTGAGGTGATGGTGCTAACCACCACACCACTCTGCCGCCCTCCTGGGGAACAGTTTTGATAAAATATGTTGTGGAAACATTACACCTAATTGGTCTAAAAAGAGCACACTCATAAGTGAACATGTGAGAAGCACGTCAGCTACCAGATGCATGCAAAAACCCCTCAGTATAAAGAAAAAACTGCATATTTTGTTTACACAGCCATGGGATTATGACCCGTTCTAACAACTATTTTCTTTTGTTCTACAGGACTCAGCACTTCAAACAAAGCATAATGTTCATGCATGAGTCCCGTCTGAAACGAGAAGGAGTCCTTGTGCACTGGTGAGAAAAAGACTGTAACCAGAATAACTTCTAACACTCAGAGTGTTAAAACACTCCCTATTTATTTAAGTGACTACACTAGGTAATTTCTTATTGTGCGTTCACAAACATATATTAATGTTTGCTGTTGACCTTAAAGAATTGAAGCCATGTGAAGCCATGTGTATCAGCTGCAGAGACAAGATTAAATGAAAAAGGAAGGCCTATTCTTGAACTTCCCAAAACAGTAAAAAGTCTTGCCACATTTTATCTGTGTAGAGTGGTAGCTCTGCATGTGTTAACAGTGTGAAGTTATAATTGGTAAGACAAAGGGTCTTCTCAGAAATACATTGGGCTATTCATAAGACACACAGGCACAAAAGTTCTACTACTGTACGAAATATTTCTTCTTCAAAGAATCGTCCCAATAGCCAAGGTCAATTCAAATGCCTGGCACCTGTGTGTCAGTGTGTGAGAGAGTGAGAGAGAGAGAGAGAGAGAGAGAGAGAGAGAGAGAGAGAGAAAGAGAGAGAGAGAGTGAGAGAGGGAGAGGGAGAGGGAGAGGGAGAGAGAGAGTGCGTGCATATGTCACTTCTATCATATTACTTTAAATTCCCTTCATGCTTTTTTGTCTATATATGTCACTCCTTACAGTATGATGTCCCTTATGAAACATTTTCTAATTTGATTTATTTAGCAATAACCATAGATCTTTGAGCAAGAAAAAGTTTCCAACAACCCTGATTTTGAGCTTAGCAACGTAATGATGGTAGCAAACCCCCCAAGAATCCCAAACTCCTGAAAATGGCATTGACCTAATGCTATTTTATTTTAGACATGAAGGATGAGTAATGCAAAGGTCTTCCTTTTGTCATTTGTCATTAATGTCAGGATTTCCATTTTACTCCATATAACCTTTCATTTTATCACACTGATTACTCATAGCAGTGACTAACTGAATGTGTCATACGTATTTCTTAAGCCAGGATATGGTGTTGACATGTGCAGAATATAACTGCTGTTAAACGAGACGGATATATCCGTGTCCAAGTCATTGCCTTCAATGTTCAGTTGCTAACAAGATCCTCAGCGCTGAAGCCATCACTTCAGATCTCCTCACACAATGAACTTTAAGGAGTTTATATTGACAATATCAAATGTAGACGTTTCATTCAGGTTTCTGAAAAAGGCTGTGGGGGCACAATACAGGGAGTGATTGTTCATCAGAATGTAGACGTTGGCATTCACATTTACAGTACATTTAATTGAAGTGTTGTATAATATTTTGTATAACACCTTTCACATTATGAGTTTTGTAAAGGAGTTTGATTCCCAAGAGCTAGTCAGAAAATCAGTCAATTGTAAATAGCTTTAAAAAAATGTTTCCTTGCAACTTTATTTATACGTTTGCATATTAAATCTAGAACTAACTGGTAAGAATAAAGGACCCTGAAAGCTCTGGTGCTCCATCTGCTCTGCCCTCTCTTTGGCCAGTCTGGCAGGAGTGTCCCGAAGCGTCACCTTGGTGGTAGCCTACATCATGACCGTGACGGGACTGGGGTGGCAGGACGCCCTGGCGGCTGTGCGGGTGGCTCGGCCTTGTGCTGGCCCCAACCTGGGCTTCCAGCAGCAGCTGCAGGAGTTCGAGACTACTCAAGCTAAACAGGTCAGTCGTGTGAAATGGGGTGTGAGAAAATTCAAATATGCCACAACATTAACGAGTAAATTTGAACGGCGCTTCATTTGTATTCTGTTTAATATGAAATAGTTTGCATTGCAAAAAGTGTTTTTTTGTCTTTTTCTCCCGCCCAAGTTCAGAGAATGGCTACAGAAGGAATACAAAAACAACCCCTTTAACGATGAGGCTGATATACGCGACCTGCTTGCCAGGGTGCCTAAAGCCAATAGAGAAGAGGTAGAAAAACATGCACCTAGCACGCCTGCAGATATTTGATCAGAACTCTTGATGGGATCATTGGCAGCTCAGCCCAGTGGATTGTGAGAGGCTGAATTAAATATATGGACCTGTGTAGAAGCCTACAGGGCTATCGTCTGGATGTTTATCATGCACTGAATAATCCACCAAACATTATGGACACGAATGGAAGAAAAGTTGATCATAATGTACAATACATGTATAGATTTGGAAAACTTTCTGGTAGATAGGTTTAATGTTTTTTTTTTCTCATTAATGTTTGTTTTTCACCATGTCTCTATAATTTCTGTTTTTTCAATAAAAGTTTCCAACTCAGCTGCTCTGTGAGGCTGTTGTTCGGTGGGCTGATAAAACACACTGTGTACTCACTTTACACTGTGTTTCCTGGTTCTCTTCCTGTTTGTCTACTTGTGCAAGGAAGGTCATGCATGGTGGCATTAAAAACACCTAGATCATTTTCTTTGATAACTCTGTTGGTTCAAATGTCTTCATGGGCTCTAAGAAAGTAATAAAATCCCAATTTGTGCATCATAGGCTTTGAATAGGACACAGTGAACTACTACACAATATGCACTTATAAAGCGTGGCTTGTGAAAGGGTACCCACTGGGGGGCAGTATTACTTACTGATTGATTACCATTGAAGGAGTTGATCTGTAATTGTTCGCTTCTGCTCACACTTACTGTCATTATCCATAGATATCGTTCATTCTAAAATGAATATTTTCCTCCAAATTATATAGAAGTCTTTTTGTTTCCAGTGCGCAGGTTTGTCAGTGGAAATGAGGAGGATTCGGCTTAATTTTAATACAAATGGCTTATATGGCAGGGGATGTTTTTTTATTTTGATAAAGGAACAGGTAATTGTTCCATTCCGTGGGTACTTAGGGTGTCACTACAGGGATTCCCCACGCAGCGCGGCGTGAGTTTCACAGAAATGAAGGCGCGTCTGCAGCGCAGCGACTCTTAAACTGCTCACAGTCCGAGAGACTCCTCCCAGCAGAAATCAAGACGTGACAACGTTTAAGAATTGGACCCCGACAGTCTTTAAACAGATTGCAGTGGTGGATCCTACATATGCAAAGGTAAGCAACAGAAGCTGATTTTTAAATAGAAGAATACACACCAGAGATTTTATATGTGAACTTCATCAGTAAAGCAAGTGTCTGAAAGGATTACAGGCTGAACTGTCTATTTCAGATTTAGTAGATAAAATGATTAAAACTACATGACGTTAGTCTTTTGGGGAGATCTTTTTCCCTTAAACTTTTCTTTTTCGTGATGATGTATTAAACATAAAATGAACATCTCATCACTTATTGATCGAATGAACAGATTCTGCAATCAAATCTATAGTAGTGTTAACAGAATTGTCTTGTTGTCATCCATGCATTCATCTCAAATGAGTCACGTTTATTTCCTATGACAGAAAGGAAACATGCCAAGCTCAATGAAGATAATAACTCACCTCAGCAACTGTTTGTTTACATTCTTGAATGAGTATCCAGAATTAATGATTTTATCACCTTCAACACTGTAATACTGGTTCAAAACTGTTCAAACTGCTAAATTTGCAGCTACAACTCCAAAGGGAACCATGTTGGGTCTCAATTAACAGATTAACATTGTTCACTCTTTCTGTTCTAAAAGAAAAAGTGTTTGGAAATATATTTGAACCTACAAATGAAATTATGGCTGTTGAAGTGAATGTTTTTTTATGATCTCAACTAACAAAATAGATGCACCAATTGTCCTTTTGACTGATATCTTAAAGTACTGTTGTATTAATTTAACTAACATTAATTAACATTTTGTAGAGATGAACCTGGATGAGGACACTGGCCTGTCAGTTGGTTGTGGCAATGGAAAACTTCGACAGTGGCTGATCGATCAGATTGACAGCCAGAGGTATCCCGGCCTGGTTTGGGAGAATGATGATAAATCCATCTTCAGGATCCCCTGGAAGCATGCAGGAAAGCAAGACTACAATAGAGAGGAGGATGCTGCACTCTTCAAGGTCAGGCCATCGCTTCTCTCTCCGCAGACTGCAACCAGCAAATCCGATAATTGCCACTTTAACACTGTACACGTATATCTAAAAACAGTGAATAGTGTGGAAAATTATTAAATTAAGAGTTGACCATTTTTATGAAGGTTCAGCCAAAGAGCTTTTTTTCCCCATTCATTTGTTAGGCTGTAACTTGATTTATTGGTAGTAAAGAGGAAGTAAAATAAATGGTTTCAATTATTGTTTCAGGCTTGGGCAATGTTTAAGGGAAAATATAAGGAGGGTGTAGACAAACCAGATCCCCCTACATGGAAAACCAGACTACGCTGTGCCCTTAATAAAAGCAATGACTTTGATGAAATTGTGGAAAGAAGCCAACTGGATATCTCAGACCCATACAAAGTGTACAGAATTATTCCAGAAGGAGCCAAAAAGGGTGAGTATTATGTAACGCTCAATGTAGGTCATCGTTAACATTTAATTCAACAACCAGTGTATCAATGTCGGTGAAATAAAAATATCCGAGTCTGCTACAAAACTTTTGAAACTGTAGTGCTGTGAGATAACATTTGTTGTGATTCGGTGCTAAATAGATAAAATTGAATTGAATTGAACTTATTCATACTGAATGATCTAGAATTTAACAAGATTTGAAGGCTATGTGTGATTTTTCACACACATTTCTACTATTGTTGCTGATTCTGATGAGGCAGGAAGCACAAAGGAAGCCAAAGCATGAACCAAAAAGGCCGTAGTGCTTTTTTTAGAGAGCTTCGGTTACGAAGTGCAGGGTGCATAGAACACAACCAGACCACCTCAGCCTTGCATAACTAAGTCTCTGCCATCATACAACAGTTTCTGTCACACCAGGCTAGTTTTTGTTATCTGGACCAACAAAGCTAAAAATGAGCATGGTTCATGCACTTAGTCACACTTTGCTCTAACTTTGCAAAATCACTCAACTGAAAATAGTAAAACTCACAGTTTGTTGTTCATTTGCCAAATAAAACAGTGTTAATAGCTTGAGAACAATTTTACTTTAATCTCTTAACCACCTTTTGGTATAATCATGTTTTATGTTCAGAGAAAATTGCTTCAGACACTGTGGACAAATGATGTGACTGACGTCTTTCTCTTTTGAACGTACTCAGGAATGAAGATGAACTGCATGGAGGAGACATCACCTCAAGTCAATGCCATAGGCTATATTCCACCGTATACATCACTACCTAACCAGGTGAGCAGATTTTGTCGCTGTCGTTCTTCTAAACCAACCTGAGCCCACATATCGGAAAAATATAAATAAGACATAGGGAATTGGTCGAGTTACATTTTCTCTTAGTCACTATCCCATCTCTTCTTCCTCAGGTACCCACCTATGTGGTTTCTCCGGAGAGAAGGGAGTGGAGAGATTATCATGCACTGCCTGAACAACAGTCTCTTAACATGCATCACCACGGGCCACACGGAGACCTGCAGTATAGTCAGTGTCTCTTCCCATCACCTATCAACAGGGCTTGGCCTGCATCCCACACAGATAATGGTGAGATTTGCCTCTTTTCCCTTCATGTATCCAGTGTGTCAAATTGAACCAGCTATTGACTGTTTTAGGAGGTTTTAAAAGCAATCATGTGAGTTAACCAGAAAACCAAAATCGAAGCAGCTCTCGTAAACCACATTTGTCTTATAATTTTCAAGTGTTGATCTTCAAGGTGTATAGATACCATAAAAGGCTATAAATTTAGGTCAATACATGGATGAAGTGAGGTTAAATAAAAGTTTCTTATTTACATAATTAAAATTAATTATATGAATATATTCCAATATTTTAATTTGATATCCTCTTGTACAAATAGGATGGTACAAGATTAGGAATATTCATTGCATTTGATATCAAGTAAAAAAAAAAGAAATAAATAAAACAAAAGCAAACCTTAAGAAAAAAAGTGAATGAGCTTTCAGAATTTTCCATTCAGTAATTTGATTAATACAGTTATCTTTTTATTCTGTCATACTGCAGGTTTTCAGCTCTCATTCCACACCTACTTTTCAGAATCACAACCACCTATGTATACAATGGACCACAACAATGTCATGACAGGTTAGGAACTATAGCTGACACACTAAATTTGACATGCACAGACTTAATAATAAGTCTGTGCATTCTGGAATTCACATTCTATAATGTGAATTCTCATGGTTGTTTTTAAATGTTTGCTATTTTCACTGTATTTGCATGTACTGATAAAAACCTACAACCATCGCATACAACATTTACTTCCCTTTTCTGAAACTTAGAACAGCAGCTAATGATATTGATTTTTTTTTTCTTTTCTCTTCATCACATGACCAGAGATTAAAACAGAAGGGTTGAGAAGATCCATAGAATGATTAGAGAGTAAGGGAGACAAATGCTCAACCTAGTAATGATTCTTACATATAAGTTGTTGTTAAACTTAAAATGACTCTCCTGAACAAGCTATGTTGCTCAGGGTCCACGTACCATTTCGTTTCAGTATCTTCTGAATGCCTGTCTCTTTCTTACAGATTTCAGTCTGCATGTGTGCCTGTACTATAGGGAATCGCTGGTGAAGGAGGTTACAGTCACTAACCCAGAGGGTTGTCGGATCACCTCCACCTCCACATCCTCCCCTTCCTCTTCCTCTTCTTCCTCCCCATGTCCAGAAGACACGTTTCACAGTGGTGCAGAAATCATTCTTTTTCCATCTCCATATCCCGAGTCTCAGAGACAAGGTGCTGAGCTGCTTCCTAACATACTGGAGAAGGGGGTGCTTCTGTGGATGACGGCAGACGGGCTGTATGCCAAACGCCTTTGTCAGGGACGAGTGTACTGGGAAGGGCCTCTGGCCCCATACGTGGATAAACCCAACAAGCTGGAGAAGGAGCAGCCATGCAAACTATTTGACACCCATCAGTTCCTTGTTGGTAAGCAGCAGTACACAGATGTTGACATGAACTGTGCCACACAGCTGTGGAGTTCATTTTCAAACAAATTCTTCTTCATGCTCCCCAGAATAAGAGATCAGAAATTTCCCTCAATGAGCTATAAAATAGGATGTCCATTTTAATTAAATGGTCCACATTACAATACTTAACAGAGATAGAAACTGCATGGATAAATACCATTATGATTTAAGATCTCTTTACATTAGCCTTCAAATTGATCATATGGATTTTCAGTTTTGTATAGGGGGTTAATAAAAGATCATAAGTATATATAAGCAGCTGAGTGGAATCAGTCTGGAATACTTTATCTCCAGTGTGGCATATTATAATGAAACCATTGTTTCCTCAGAAATGTTAGTTTGGTAAAGGTGTAGTCTTGACCATGAAATAAAGCAGAAGTGTTTTAGTTGTCCTGTAAAGGTAGTTGTTCACACGGAATTGCTTAGCTAGCAAGGCTAGCAAAAATATTTTAATTGAATAATGCGGATGATCATAGTGATTATGATAGAAAATCTTTGGATTCTTTAGTCGGGTAAGTCCACATTTGAGGCCGGTAAAAAGAAGGCACTCTTCTCACCGGGGGGTCCATGTATGTGGAGTCCCCACCCACCTCCTGTGGTCCACCACATTGAGTAACAAAGTCTTATTATCTGTGCTGTTTTATGTTGAATTACCATCATCCTCATCAGTACTTTCCAGAAAAGACACGGTGACTAAAGAAAATGTCATAAGAGCAAAATGGGATAGTGGATGTTATTTACAATGCTTAACAATGCCACATGCCTGAGAATCCTGCAACAGATCACAATTTCAACGGTGTCTCCTTCTTTTAGATCTACAAAATTTTGCCCATAATGGCCGTCATTTGCCACGACACCAGGTGGTGCTATGCTTTGGGGATGAGTATCCAGACCCCCAGCGTTCAAGGAAAATGATCACAGCACAGGTATTTATTTATTGATTCATTCATGTTGAATAGGCAAAAAAGAAACAATAGTCACAGCTTAAGAAAGATAGAAATTCAAAAGGAACCATTAAATAGTGGTATGCATTCTCTAAACAACTTCATCTGGTAGGGGAAAAGGATACAAATGGTTAGAATGAAGACTAAGCATGATTTTGGAGACTTTGGGGATGTTTGCATTTTCCAAGCAATCGCCTACAGTCATCATTATGTCATGGCAGCCAGTTGATGACATTTCTGGGCTTCCAGTGAAATCTGTGTAAATCCTGTTGATGAATGGATGAAAAGATACCTGGACCCAGTTCTCCTGTTTTTTTGCACTGGTCTTTGTTTTCAAAGCTCAGAAGTTGTTGTCTTAGATCATGGCTAATTCTTTGAAGATATCACTTTATAATAATTTATAACCAAGGCCAGTATCAATGTAAGAGTAATTAGCCAATAAAACAAGAGGCAGAAAGTTTCTATTCTAAACATTTTGTATACAGGTACTTTGCTACTGAGCAATGGAAAATGCAAGGAAAAATGCACGTTTTTGTCATGTCTGGTTAAATATTTATTGATTTTAACATATTTAAATGACTAAACTTTATGAAAATGGATGAAAATGTAAAGAGTTGATCACAAATCATAAATCAGGCTACACCAAATAACGTGCTCTGTGAACTGTGAGCATTAGATCAAGGTAAGACTGGCTGTCACCGATTTAAATACCTATATGTCTTTAAATAAACGTATTTATTCATATAAATATTAATGTTGGTTCATAGTCATTCATATACAAATGAACACTAAATTGTTTTCTTTATTACTGGTAAATATCTTATCTCTCTAGATAAAGCTAACTGGAAGGTAAAACATGAATTTATGTCAGAATAAATTAAAATACAAATTACATGAGACCTTTCCAGGGTGTAACGAACCACTTATCCAATGACACTAGGAACAATGTCCAGTCCCACTGTGACTCTAAATGCCATCCAAACAGGCCTGTAAAATGGATGGCTGGAATAATGTATAACAGTAGTGATACACAGGGAGACACTACGGAGATATAAGCCATATTTAAAGCAATATTTGTTGTGTTATATGGCCTTTCGACACAAAATACAAATGCAATATTTAGATATTTTGTAGGAAGGAATATGCCTAAAAAATTAAGTCAGTTAGCATTATTTTGTAAGTGTCGCTGGGTACATGCTCCCTTTGTTGAGACAAAAACACTGATATGGAAAAAATATTTCAAACAGATATTATTTTATTTTAGGTGGAGCCACTGTTTGCCCGGAAACTGTCATACTATTACCAGCAGAACACTGGTCACTACCTGCGAGCCTACGATCACATCCAGGAAGAGAGCATCTCTCCGATAGCTGACTATACCGCTCAAAGACCTCTACAGCATATTCAGGAGTGAAAAGCACCCACAAACACATGTGCACATGCAGGGGTGATTGAAGATGGCTGTAAAGTTGTGGCCTTTCGTGACACCTTTCGACTGCAGTCCCGTGAACTGTTAGTGATAGTGTGGAGGGGCAAAGATGGGGAAGACCCTGTCCCTTTTACTTGCACACCTATGCTCTGTAGTCTTTGTGTCTGTGACTGTGGAGTGAAGTTCTTTCTGTTTTTTTTCTTCTACAAATATTATTGTGACAGTGTGAAGGATGCGGTTTGAGGGTGGGGAAGATGAGGGGAGCGGAGGGCAAGCTGAGACAGGAAGTACTAGCACAGGTGCACAGGAAGAATGGCCCCTAAGACAAACACAGATATGTCAACGTGATAAACCAGTTTAAATGGATACTTTTTCATTCACAGGTAGCAGTTGACAGTGTGACCCGTGCTGTTGTAGTAAAGTGGCTGTGAAGACAAAATCACCATTTCTTGATTCTGATTTAGTTTTTTCTGTGGTTCAAAATATACATGCTTGCAAACAAGGCTAAACTCAACAAAGCCAACAGCTCTGTTTCCAAGCTGGTTTATTAATTCCCTCAATGGCTCCAGTGGCTCTCATTGGTTATGAGTAGCAAATACCGTAGTCCCCTCCATGTAAAGAACAACATAGTTTAATTTATTGGATATAATATACTTTTAGAGATTATATTATTTAGAAATCATTTGATTGCAGCTAGAAGGCATGAAAATAATGATTATGATTGTGCAACAAAATAATAAATTGTGTTTCATGCTCACAAAAAACACATTGCATAGTTGCATATGCACAAGATGCATTTGAATTACAGAAGTCGGCTTCTCAAGCACTGTTTTGCTGTGATGAACCTTAACCGAACTGGGTTGAGGGACACTGACTGGAAAACTTACAGGGAAATGATACCTGGTCTGAAAGATCTGAAACTGGTGGCCCCACAATTAGGAAGGAAAACCAATTTCATGGTTGATGTACATGTTAAACCATAGGTGAGTTCCCATGAAATCCTTACTGTAGAGGTGCAGACACTGGTTTAAGTGTCCGGGCTAAACCTACAGACATCACAAAGTGCCTGAGACGTGGAATGCTGAAATTTCCTTGAGTTGGATTCCTCATGGTACTGTTGTCCCGTGTGTTAATACCGAAGGAGGAGGGATAGAAATGTTGCTGCTTTTCTTCTGTGGTCCATAGTTTCAATCTCAACATTTACTTCCCTCTCACTTAGACCACATCACTTTCTCAGAGTATTACCAAAATCACTGTCAGGAATCTTTTTTTTCATTTTTATTTCATGAATCATGAACCCCTTCTAGACACCTTAGAATGTGAGCTCTCTGATTTTCTACTAAGTGAGTTTGTTTGTTATTGCTTCACAGTCAAGAAATTTGGCCAAAATCTCTCAGCTTCATCTTCAGTGTATGTTTTTTGTGTGTGTTGTATTGTGTGTGTCTGTGTGTGTGTATGTATAATGACCATCTGGTTATTGCTATTAATTTGTTAAGTTTGAGTTGAGAACATGTAAGTTGTATATTAACAAAGTTGAAGTTCATGCATGTGTGGGAGGGTACGCAGTTGCGGTATTACTGTTATCAGGAATTGACATTTATGGACTCAGGATAAAGCTCGTGACTCCCCCACCCACGACACCAGTGACTCAAACACACACAACCAACATGCCCATCTCACGTCACAGATTACAGTCACAGCTCAGACAAAACTATGGTGGGAAAAAAAGATCACATTTGTCCATGTAAATGGTTTCAATCAGCATATGTTAATTGGGATTTTTATTAAATATAAAAGTGGTATTTTGAGATTTATTTTTAAATAAACACATGCAAAACTATTCAAATGTGCCCTGCTTTGTTATCTTTAAAACACCACTTTTGTAGACAAAGAAAGGAAGAATAAGAGAATCAGATTTGGTTAGAAAAAGGAAAAAAAAGGAAAAAAAACATTTGCCATGGTGTTTCCCCCTTTGCAGGAAGCCACATCATTTGTAGTCAGGCTTCAGTTTTTCCGCCTCTATAAGCCGTTACTCTAAGTGACATTGTTTTTGCCTTTAACCCGAGACTGACGCTGACTGTTCAATCAACTGATGCTTCTATAACTTAGACGGATAGACGGTTTACAGTTAAAAAGAAACTACCAATACCATATGAGCTTTTTCCAAAAGAAAATGTGATTGAGTATGTTTTGACTTTACAGAATAGATGTATTGAGTTTGATTTAGCTGACTCACAGTGGACTAAAATCCATCATGTTTTTATGTTAAAGAAAATATAGGTGGAAACTTGACCAAACAATTCCTAAAACACTTTTATTTAGAACAAAATTTTCTGACTTATGAGAAAATGTCATTTAAAAACTTAGTTCTTCAGTGGCATACGGAAAATGACATGAAAAGTTTTATTTAAAAGTGAAAAGTTCAATGATAATTGCAGTTAAGAGAAAGAAACTAGCTCATTCTACAACTTCGCTGGTACTCACAAATGTATCACCTAATTATTGGATGGTGTTAGTGAATTTTATGTTTCCATACCTCCATTAATATATATTTCAGTGACACAAAGTACTGTACCCTTAAAATGGGCCGTGTTTAAAACTATTTGATGCAAAACAAACTTGAAGATATTCAGTCAGGATAAAAACTTAGTAATGCTTTAGTGACATCTGCTGGTTTGTGTAGCTTTGGCTTTAACATAAAGCCCTTTTCGGGGCAGTAAAACACACAAAAAAAATCTACACAATCTATTTCCTCTAATGAGTTTTGGGCTTAATAATGAAAAAAAACAATGAGTGCCCACATTAGCCTCTTAAGCGCATTGCATTTCCAATTGCTGAACCCTGTAGATTTGTAAAGAGTGAGTTTAAATCTTAGATAGCTAGTGAATTCATCTCATGGCTGAGGGTAAGAAGACATTTGACCCCTCAAAGTGACCTCGTAAACCCACAAGTCATCACCCACTGGCCCAAAGCTAAATGTTTGCTCACAGGAGGAAGTCAGTGATGGTCAGAACTATACTGGTCAACTGTTGACAGGTGATCCGCTCAGCACTTTTGACTTTTGGCAGAATATAGGACTGTCAGGAAAACTGACCTAGAAAGTATGTGCTGGCGTATAATCTTTTCTAATAAAATGATTAATTCTGTGGATGTTGTCTACAGGAATCATAAGATATGAAACAGCAATGTAATACAAATCAGCCGTCAGAGGAACTGAGAAGCAAAACAATATGAGAAATATGAGCAGAACAATATGAGAATACGAGAATTACCTGGTATTGATGCAACGCTGTATTATCTATTTAGTTTTGCTGGAACCTTCCACAGATTTTAGAGATAAATGATGTTACGTGTAAATATCATTAGACAAACTAGCAAATACAGTAATTTTACTAAATTGAGAAGATACAGATTTCAAAGCTTCTACGTTTCTCTGTATCGTAAAAAAAAAATGTAGTGAGATAAATGGCCAGCAGAGAGTGGTCTATCATCGGTTGTTTGCTCTTGAAGGAGCAGCAGAAAGGTGAGTTGTGAATCATAATGCCTGCATATTAGTATGGTTGGATGGAACTGCAGTATTCATGTTACCAGTACATGTGCCAAGTACATATCTAGAAAAAAAGTAAAGAACACTCTTTTAACTGACTTCATTAACACTAAACATATATGCATAATATTACAACATAAATTACTTACAGCTCTTTTCTTATCACAAAGGTAGAGTTTTAAGGATATTCTTAAAAACAACAGCCTTGCTCAGTTTGGTAAAGCACATAACTGACAGAGAAACATAAATGGCAAAAATGGCAGTTCATTGGCCTTGTTGTTTGAGTGTGAGTGGCGTAGTTCTCAGACTCTGTGTGGTCTGGCTGTGTGGTCTCCAGATGACACGTAGGGGGGTTGTAGCCACAAACACACACATGCAAACGTATATGTAAACATATGTATATAAGTACACTTATATATATAGATATAGTCCAAACACTTTGTAGCTGTAGCTCTGGGGGGTGTGACCACTCCAACAAAACTAATCAAGGATCAGCTTTTTATCTATCAATTCTAAGGAACATCCAGATTAAGTATTCACAGGCTTATATGCGACTGGTTAGAGGTGTAGTGGAAAGCCTGTCAGTCATGGGTAAAAATCTATCAAACTTTATACCTCTACAGAATTTGATGATCACTTCTGTAAATAATGTACAAACAAAGTACTTTGTCATTCCTTTTTTACTTATTTAGGTCTTTTTGTCTTCATTCACTATAAGTATAAATCTTCACAGTATTTTTATCTATGATTAAAGTTGTCATGGCAGAAAAGGGACATTTTCCTGCGACATCATGTGGTACTATGTTCTTCATAGAGTAGAAAATTGGACCCCATACAACCTCTGTCACTCTACCCTCCAACACACACATAGAGCCACTAGGCTCTCCTACAATTCCATGCTCCCTCCCTCTCCCACAGTGATCTCAGGGGAAAGCTCTGTAATGCGGTACTGCTGAGAACGCGCCATGAAAATATAAATACAACCTTGCCGCATTTCAACCATGTAAATAAACAAGGCCACCCAAATTTCCAATTAGAACTTGTGTTGAAAGCAGGAAGTCTTGTAGACAAGAAAAGACCACACCTTCTCCTTGATCCTCCACTCCCAAAAAGGAGTCCAGGTCCACAACCAAGTCAGACATGGGAAGATGGCAGAATAGACCCAATGGTAAATATGGAATTAGCTCTGCATTTGGGGCTGTTTTCAAGCATCCTGATCTATTTTCATTGTATCCCCCCTTTTTTGTCTTTGAGGGACTATACTCACAAACGTCCATAAACTACGGATCGTTGTTTGGAATAACGAATGTAAGATTGTATTCTTATGTCTACAAACTCATCGCAATTTTGGGGGATTTTTTTTATGTTTAACATGTTCAACAAGTCTCGTGTTTCAGTTTGGAAACCAATTTTTACGCCAACTTGCGTTATCTGTTCCATCAAGGTTATGAGGTGATTCCTATCTGGCTGAAATTAAGCATTCCCACTGTATTCCACATCTTCTTGGAAAAGCAAGGCACCAGTGTTATGCAGCTAAGCCCCGAGACCACCCGGGAGATGCGGTCCAGTTGTAGAAGGCAGACACAAGGTCCATATTGTGATAAGAAAACCAAGTCCTTTCTTGGGAGTGATGGTGCTTTGATAGCATGTTGAGGTTTGCCTGATATCTGCCAGTCATAATCAGCTCAAGTCAACGTAATGCCCCCTCTGGTCACTGCTTCAGCCGTGGTCAGTCAGCAAATATCATGGGACCTATTAGTCAATATAAACACCCAACTTAGTGTAATTACCCAAGCGAGACGCTGACCTGTGTCATGAAAGTCACTTTCACTTCATGATATGCTTGTAAGGGAACTCACAACAAGTCTTAATGACAGTAATCCAACCGGAAAGGGAAGAGCTCATTTAGATAAAGTCTAAGGGAAATAGGCTGAGGTAATGAACTGTCCAGAACATGAATATGTGCACAGCAGGTTATCAGCATTGGCATGAGACATATTGAACTGTCCTTGTGTGGCACCAGCAACGAACCACAAAACTGTGTGTTCTTAGTAAATGTTCTTCCATCCATCAGTCATTCTTCTGTGTTTATGTTGTATTAGTCTCTCATTGCAGTGTCTTTTTCCTCACAGACTCAAGAACAGCCTCACAGGAAACAGGCAACATAAACATAGGGATATGCACAGCCTCTCTTGAATTGGCTCTGAACTGTATGTAAACACTGTGAGTTTCTGGCTATTCATTTTTGAAAATTCTTGTAAAACTATGATATATCTTTTGAAAGAAATTCTTAATGTCTGAAGAAGGATTTTCTTGCGTATTCTACATATATTTTTACCTTATTTTTCTCCATTGCTGAATTTCCAGAATTATTGAATGTGTAGCATTTAGTTGATGAGTTTAATTAGTTATATATAGTGTAAGATTAGGGCTGAAACGAATTATCTATATATTTGATTTAATTAAGAATAAAAAGATGATCAATTAAAATCCTATGTGGTGGTTCATTTAAAACATCACTTCCTGTCTGTATTTCCTACTTCCGACACGGGCTTCCGGGTACGGTACGCCAATTTGATTAAAGGTAAGGATATATATTGAAGTGTTGAGAGAAAAATCGATAGAGCGAAGGAAAATGGATAAAGACAGCTAGAGAAAACATCGAAACTTCTCTTAAGTGCCAGATACCGCAACACAGAACTTGTCCCAACACCTGAGCAGACAACACCTGGGCACCTGAGCGGAGGAGGAAGAGGAGGAGAGGGTATGTGATTGAGAGTTTAAATCCAGGTAGGTGCAATCGCTAATAGCCAACCATATTTCTCTCTCGTGTTGCAAACGAGGCTAATATGAACAATAACTGCGATGAAGGTTAATCGTTTTACATCTCTGCAATGACATTTAGTACAGTGAAAAAATATTCAAAAAAAGGAAAAACGCGATTATTCAATGAATAGGCCTACATTTTTAAAGCAATAAACATCAAATATACCTTTTTAAACATATTATGATATTCAATGGAAGTGGTAAGGATAAAAATGATGTCTAATTTTGTTTGTATGTGGTAATTATTGCTGATGGTGAAATACAACTGAGGCTGTTCACTTTCTTGAGTTTGTTGGAAAAATGATTTTTAGCTTTTTAATAAAAACCTTAACTTAAATTCTGATCTCAGTTGTTAATAGATTAAAGTCGCTTACTCAAATGTCAGGTTCATGGCAGAGTCGCATATAAATGGATCACCAAACAATGTTGGTAAGGAGACACAATCAAGAAATTGGTTTTGACAAATTTTTTGAATTTTTAATTATCGGGGAATAACCACAGTGCTCTAATCATGATCAATGATCTAATCATCATATTCACATTTAGCAATGTTTTGGAGATCGAGATGAACTGAT